TTTTCCAGTCCGATGCAGATGCTGTATTTCAAGTAGTCTGGCGGCCCTCATAAGCCAAATGGCCTCCGCCGTTGAGACCTCGTAGATCAGCAAGCGAGCGATGGGTTCAGAATTTTACCGTATTGTCAGTGGACCTTGTAGATTGTCAGACCTGCATCAATACCGCCAATTACCTACTAGATCCCCAGCTTTGTCCCACGCAATGGAACGCTCGTCATGCTATTCGGTTATTACCGGCTCAAGAGCCTAGACGATCCTGATTGCACAATTTACTTTTTCTTTCTCAGGCATAGTTACAGCAGGTTGAAAAAGGTGATCTGCTGCGCTTTGGAAATCTTGCAAGCAATCTAATCATCTACATCTGCATATGGGGCATTATATAAGTATACATGCCGTAGGATAAGGAGCCAGGAAAGACGTACAATTCTATCCCTGTGCGGTGACGCAAAATTTTATAAGAAGAGCTGAATATATTATAAGCGTGGCGTACAGTAATTTGGGTTTGCAACCGTGACTTTTGTCTGCGTTGGAGTTTGATCTCCTAGATCGTGGGCTACTTTTCTCGAACAATCTCGAAATCTTAGATTGAGGTCGAGGGTGTGAACAGTACTGGACATTAAACTCATGATTCATACTCCAGTTTCGTACCACGTAAACTCGAAGTTGTGCCTACCGATGCAGATTCAGGATCTCATGGTATTTTGTACATCAACTTCTGAGACAAAAGCTACAGGCACTTTTCAACATGCCCTTTGGTCCTTTTCCTGCATCAGATTAAATGGTAAATGGTAAATAGACAAAGCACGTGGGACCCAAAAGGTTAAAAGTCTGAAAAACACAGTACAAGCCAAAATCGATTAGTTGTTTTTGATATACAGCAACAATTATTGTGCCTCTAAGAGTTCTACTTTGGTGGAGCTAATGAAAATAGTATTCAGGATCGTGGACGCTTTTGAGCTGAAGTAGCTGAATAGAGTGAAGCAGTCAATTAGAGCAATTCGAGCGTTCCCATTCGATGAGCAGAACCGGTTAGTCAATGATCTTTCGCAGCACTGATGGAGTATTACAGCCTGCAACAGTATCCACTGCTGGGATGCATCGACAGTGTAGCCATTCTTCAAAATGCTCTCCACCAACTTGCGAGCCTACTGGTCACCGGATCTCTGTTCCATGCGTGACTGAAATTCGATAGGTTTAGTTCTTTTCCATTTCCTCGATCCATGCTGTATAACTAACACTTCACCTGTGTGATCCGTTCGTTACTTTTGATTTAGGACTTGAGCCTGGGTCATTTCTCCTGTAGGTACAACACTGTATGCGTTGTGAATGCATAAAACATGGATGACTTGACAAGCTGCATGTCTTACTTCCACTTGTCTATAGCTACGCCCCTGATTCAGTTGGAAGTTCATCATCAGAAGGTTTTTCCTTCAATAATTGGAAATTGCCATTTTAGACAGCAATCCCTTAAATCTCTACAAAATTATATTATGGTCCTATCACGTGCATGAAATCCAGAATACGAAAGAAACAGTAGGTCAGCTGGATTTCGATTCGCCATTTCATTGCACGTTCTAAGACCGAAGAGCTATCACAAGGACCGACCATGGTAACAACTTGCAGACATATCCATTGCAGAGCGTTTGCGAATATGACTATAAAAACTTCCACATGATATCCTGCGAATTCAACTCTGCGAGGATTCTAATCTGATATGATACTGCGAGCACATGTTATGAACATTTTACGATAATGGACATTAGTATCCTTGCAGAAAAGCTGCTTCGTACGTTAATCCGGATGTTTATGTTGAAGCATGTTACATTGTTATGTTCCTTGAACTGTTGTACTTGGCGTAACATGACGTACTGCATTCATAGAAAGTAGCATCAGTTCTACAACATATATGTCGCCTATCATGTTGCGTGAGAAGCTCAAGTGGATGATACGCTGATACCAAAGTGGGGAGCACTTCGAGTGCTCATACTTGGGTATAGTGATCGGACATGTGAGAAAAGCGAGATTCTTTAGCGGGTTGTCTGTCGATCTGCAAAACGCACGCATGCTCCCAATCCGTTGATCTGTTTATTTACACACATTCTGAACCTCAATCAAATGACCAACTACACCATTTGCCTCGGTTCAAATGGAGCCTACCGATCAGAGTGAAGGGAGTATGTTACAAAACTGAAAGCACGAGCATTCATCCCCATTGCGTTCGAGTGATCCAACTTTACAAACTTTGAGACGGAACTCTGGAGGTTAACAAGAGCCCTCTGTAACGAGGTAAAAGACTCTTCGCAGTGTGCATTTCATTTACATTATAATCGTCAATAACTTGATCATGACAATGACATTGGATCCTCCAAAATCCGACGGACTGGACGAGATCTCTCGTAGTGTAAATGCTTGATTTTTAGGCATGGGTACTGGTCACAGATCAGAGATAGTATGTCCCCTAGCCCAATTCACAGCGCTTTTCTGGCTTTGAATATCGTCAAGAGTCCACACATGTAACGAAGACAAATAAGATCAAGATGAGGCTTAGCTTCCAAGTTTGCTGGAAGTATTGCAAGTCAAAATTCTACAGCTGACTGTAGAATTTATGTAAGAACCGGACATTAGTATCTTATTAATATTAGTATCTATAATTTCGTAAGATGGTGATAAGTGTTCTAGGTCTGACAGACGGATTGCATTGCATGCTTCGTGACTCACGATGTCTTTGGTCAGGTCACATCTGATATGGTCTCATTCTCCAGGTCCATGCCACCGACTAATCATACATCAGTCGGAGACTTAATTACGATGAGTTTACATACCTTCCCACCACACGATCATGGACAACTTACCCTCAATTACAAGCTGAACTGCAGTTCAGCTTGTAGTGGCCGGACACCTAGACTTTAGAACCCATTGGCTCATGAAGAAGTTTCGTCCCGTGCAGATGCTGCTTCATCATAAAGACTTTATTGAAACGAGAATCATGTCGAGAAGTATGAAACTCTGTAATACACGGTGATTTGGCTTTCAAGCTTTCGGCCGTCTAAAATCTACTAGCCCCTGCAGGACGGTAGCTTCTACAGTAGGATGGATACATGCTGGTTGGATCTTTATATGGGTCGGTTGCAGTTTTATGAGGTTTTTGTTGAAGAGAAAACAAAATGAAGTATTTGGGCAGAAGCTGTTATGGTTGTAGGCTTCCCCCACTGTTTCGTGGAAGAGAGGTTAAAGTGCCTTCACTAGATACCTCCTTTTTATTCATGGATTTTTCGGAATGAAATTTGACTTTATTTATCTTCTTGCAGACAGTAGTGAATCTTCAGTGCTTGGAATGACTGAAGTTCGTATCTGAGATGAACATAGGAGAAATCAATTCAACCTATATTCAAATATGAACAAGGTTGCATCGATTCTAGAACTGAAGAACATCTACTTCGCTGTAGAACTTTGACTTAGTCTGCATGAACTTGATGAATCATTTATATGCACGGTTCTGTCCGAATTGGAGAGTGATTGTTGGATCGGATCGCGTGGCTGTGATGAATCGGATCTTCTCAATTCAAGAGATCCCAATTCAACCCGTAGTTATAGCCAGATCTGTATCAGGTTATAACTACAGGTTGCTGACTGGAGCTGCTGCTATTGTGTGCTCGTTTGATTGTTCCTTTGCATATGATGTCAATGTCTCCTGAGTGTAAATACAATATTGATTATTTGTCATAAGCTTTGCCAAAGTTGCAGTTGATGCCAACAACATGCGTCTAATCTCAGATATTATCATAAATACTTTACTGTGTGTCTGGACTCTATTCCAGCCTTCTTGAAACCAAAGCCTGTAGGAAGGATATCTATCTGTGACAGTTCTGAATCTGAATATCTTTCTGAATTCTTCACATATGAACATCAGTGGACACTTCTATCCGAACAACTCTTGAAATGTGAACACTAAGGTCAATACGTGAATGTGAAAGAAGCTATTAAGTAAACTAAATAAATAGTAAATTGAACCATTTTGTAAACAAAGAAAAGATAACACGTAACTAGTGAATTAAATCGTTTTCTTCATTAAACTTATACGCAGATGTCCATATGAAAATATTTAATTATTCCAATTGCAATGCAATGCAAGAATCTTAATACAATTTTATTACATCAAAAATTATTCATGATATTATCATGAAAAGCAATGGACTAAAATTAATGAATTAAGAGTAAAATTTGTTGTTGTCAGCGTGAAGATATTAGAATCTGACGAAGAGCATTATAATGTATTGTAAATTTTATTAATTATCATGATATTAATATCTTCTTTGAGTTGGGAGATTTTTTGTAAACTTTGCAACTTTGATCCAGATTCAATTTGTATATCTATATGAGAAATTTGTAAAGTACTGGGTGACGTATCCAATGTCTTTATCCATCCCCATCTCTCGTTCTTATGCGTAGTGTCACGATCAGAAATAAGAACTGGAGTTGGAACTTGGAGTCTTGGAAACGGTCGTTGCAAGCAAAGCCGCGTTGACCGGTTTGTATTGACTCTTCGGGACGGAGCAAGATAACCATGGTCGCGCGGCCACCGGCGAGACCGGTTAGATGAGTAAAACTCGAGCAATCCTGGACTCTACGATACCGAATCGGACGGTTGTAGGAGCTCGCAGCGGTGACCACATTCACGGGTTACCACAGTCATCCAAAGCTCCGACAGTGATGACAGCCCGACGTAGGCAAGTACCGGTCTCCCGAGGCACAATCCTGCGGACACCGAATCGTTGGACCGCAGTTGCCCACTGCTTGTCCGCGGGAAAGTCCCGGGAATCGCGGTGGGTCGGAGTTTGCGGCTTCTGGACGCGTAACTTTTCCGGCGCCTGTTGAATCACTGGCCCTAACAGGCGTTCAGATTGTGTCGCGAGGAGAATCCGGCGACGACGTGTGCCAGCGAGGGGAGCCCGGGCACGGGACGGGAACGTGTATTCTTCGGGACGAGCGAGCGAGCGAGGTCTCAGAGCGAGGAGGAGGAGGCGACAGGAGCGATAGAGATGGGGCGCACGGACAGGAGACAGTGGCTCGGACCATCGGCGGTCAGTTGTTGCGCCTCCGCAGTCGTTGTGTTGTCACATGAATTTTGCAGTGCAGCAATCTCTCGCGTGGTTTGATGCAGATCTGTCGATGTATTGAGATTGAGGATCGCAACAGCGAGAAGAGCGAAGAAGTGGAGGCTGCCTTTTCTATATGGTTCCTGTCAAAGTCTGATCGTGTCACCCTCCCACAGAATGAAGTGATGTCGATCTCGGACTCTCAGCATTCGCGCATGCGCTCTGACAGCGAGCTTACGTACGTTTTTCGGGCACTCGGATCAATCAAACATTACGGTACTTCAGCGTTAGCTTATGTGAACATGACAGGGAATCGGATACCACGTGCTGTGTCTGAGAGCTGACTGAATTCCCATCGAGAGAGCGATCGGATCTACGGAGTGACCGTGTACAGAACTGCGATCAAGTCTGCCGTAGACACAACTGGACTCTGGACAAATCTGATTCGAGTGGAAAGTGAGCGAAGATGGAAGTAGCAGTGGCGGCCGTGACCATTATCGGACAACTGGAGACTATCTACATGATTATTGACAAAATAGTTCAATATCAGCAGATGGTCTGCAGATACAAAGATACGTGTCGAGATTTTGTCAACTTCGTCAAGGAAATTGGTGAGATACGAGTGGTGTGTCTAATTGTTGATCATTGTACTTAGATTAAATTGTGACAGCTCCATCTCCAGCTCGTGGCGAGTCTAACCTCCATTCATAGAGCTGAAGGCGTAGTGTACGTCTGGAACCTCAGAACTCCCTTTCTTTCCATCCTGTACTTGAGGTAGATTAGAGCTGTGTCTCTCTCCTTCGCAACTGACTCACTGACGAACTGCGACGTCGGTAGTAAGACAATCCTGGCAAATCATCTTTCAGCACGTCTTTGCATAGCTCGTTAGTCAGTCTTGCTCTCAGAAAATTGATTGTTGTTTTGTCACCTCTGAAACAATTGACTGTCTGTGACTTCCATTCAGTTATAGCCATTTCAGTTGCCTATATTCACCAGGTCGATGATAATGCAGACTTAAAAATAAAATGCGAGACCTAGTCCTATTCCACGAATTTCTTCTATCTGTAAAGAATGTAGCACATGCCGATCTGGGTAGCCACTCAGTAAGGATTGTTAGGTTGGCGGGAACGTCATTGCCCACAATAATCTTTGCTTAACATAGCTTTTTTAAGTCACCTAACCTCCGGCTGACATTGCAAACCCGCCATAATCTGCAGAAACTGTTTTGAGAAACAAAGCGTCCAATTTGAAACTGGATCAGGAGAGAAAGTTTAGTAATGACGTGAAGAGGCAGCTGGACAACCTGGAGGAGCACCTGCGATGTGCGGCGGCCTTATTAAGCGATCTGGAGTCCCCTCTCAGAATAGCAGCTTACACAGGAGTGGCTGCAAATAAAATAAGTGAACTCCGAGGACAACTCATGGAGGCGGTCACGCTCTTAACATTCCACATCGTGTGCTCTCCTTCTGAGAAACAGGTAATTTTGTGTGCCGAAGTTTGTGTAAGCATGTATTTCAGTCCAGATCGACTTCGTGGACAAAGATTATTCTGGATTCGAGACTTTGCCCTCTCTTTTCACTGCTCGCTGTAATTTGACTTTGTGTTAGATTTTCGTTGTAGCGATAAAGCCCCTCAGATTGGTTTCAAATTCCTCTTTCGGAGACAAGATGTGTGACATATACAACGACGCTGAAAGTAATTTAATAATTGCTCGATGACCTGTGCAGCCGGAGCATCTTCAGTGTCCTCCTGACGACACGCATCCACTTTCTCAAGTCCATCACATTCCGAGAATTTTCAAGCAGGAGATTCATCACCATGTGGAGCCACGCGTCGAAGCCAGGACTTCATACCAAAAACCCTCACACCAAGAGGTCCACGTTTCCTACCACCACATTGCCCCTCATGACAGTCCTCATGCTCACGACCGTCCGAAAGGTCGCGTGAGAGGCAGCCGTGAATGTCACTGTCCTCATTGTGAAACTCACCACTCCGCAGGCATTGCTGAATCTGCTTCTCCCAGGCTTCACGGGAACGAGCATGCTCCTGGCCATAGCCAACAGCATTGTGTTCACTCCCCTCCTCAGCGTTCGAAAAGCCTTTCCAAGCTTCCTTCAGCTGCTCCACCTCTTTATGCCAAACGCCACTCACATATCGTCGCTCATCCCCATATTCTGGATTTCCACCATGCTCTGGAATTCCACCATGCTGAAAATGGTGCTAAAATCTCCTCAGGTCCTCATGCTGATTCCCATCCTCCGTCTCGGGGTTCCACTTCCCGTTCTAGAAGCAGTTCTAAAATGGGTTCCCCCAGTCATTCTGACAGTCACCACTCTCGAAGTCCCACTCACCATCATCAATTTGAGCTTCTGAATTCCAGAGGCAGTTTCAATGCGTCTTCTTCCCCAAGTGCTGCTGCTGCTGCTGCTGAATGTCGTAACTCTTCGAGCCCTGCCCACCACCGTCACCACCATCATTCTGATAGGCAGCTTTCCAGAAGCAGTTCCAAGATGGACTCTCCATTCCATCCTGACAGTCACCACCATCAACCTGATGCTGCTCTGCATCCACGAAGCAGTTCCAGGAAGACTTCCCCAAGTCATCCTGATGCCCACACTGATTCCAGACGCATTTCGAAGTTGGCGTCCTTTAGCCATGCCGAGAATCAGCCGCATCAGCATGATTCTCATCCTCGAGGAATCAGCTCTAAGGTGGCGGAAAATATTCACTCCTCGATCGATCCTCTCTTGACTGAGAAAATTCTTCACCGACCTCTCTGTCCTCACCACAATCTTGCCGAAGAGTGTGCTCAGAAGAGCAGCAGCCATTTGAAGAGCGCTCCGATTCCTGCGGCTGCAATCGACCATCTCCATCATTCTTCCGCTTCTTCTCACCAACACCAACACCACCAACGGAAAGCTCTTCCCCATCAACATCAACGTCAACATCAACACCAACACCAACACCAACATCAGCAGTTCTCGCCTTCGCCATCTCAATCGACGAGCGTGGGCAGGTCTGAGTCGCAGGCCTTTCTGTTCGCCATCGGTCCCTATGGCTAAGAGCTCTCACTGACAGAGGGGAGTTGCCATGGTCTGTCCCTCGGTTGCCAACTCTGTCGAGGCAGAGAAGGACGATTCAGACGCCTCCGATGAGGACTTTCGTCTCGGAAGTGGCAGCACGAGGAAGGTTGCGGGCGACTTGAGGAAAGCAGGCTCCCATAGCTCGAAATCATCATGGTCCTGGATCGGATCAATCAATCCTCTCTGCTGCCGCGCTTGTGTTGAACGATTATTACAAGCTACTGTTGGTCAAATCTGCTGCATATCCTATCCTCGTGCAACATGGTTCTTGGAAACCATGCGCATCCTCTTGCACGTATCAGCTGTTTCCATCGTCATCATGGAGATTGAAAGAGAGAGAGAGACTTGCAGAGCAGAAGAGGGTCGTCCTTGTTCCCAGTGCTTTCTTTGGAGTCCCACCAAATCGAAGCAGCCCCGAGAGCAGAAAGTTTAAGCCCTCTTAATCTGAGCTGCCCTGCAGCCATCTCTTAATGGAAGAGTCCCGGCCGCCATCGTTACATATTTTACAATAGCACGAGGGCTCATGAACGGAACACTGAGCCCCAGTTTACATTCTACACCTCTTCCTCAGGTAGAGTCTTCTTAGTGCAGGCACCGATTCCGACTTCGATCCGATTTCCGGCTCTGAGTTGGTTCTCGGTCCACCATGTTTGTCGTGTCGCTGAGCAGCAGCACACCTGCTGTGAATTTCGACTAGTTAAATCTGGACCCCCTCGGTCCACCATTTAGTATCGTGTCCTCGGCCAGAAGAGTCATGTGATCACGCTCTGAAATTCTGAAACTGAAATCAATAGAAAATGTTCTCCAAATCGTCTGCATGTCCTCCCTTTAGAAGAATCGTAATGCATGCTCAGAGTTCGATTTTGGCAACGCAATGATCGATCGATCGATACCATTTGCTTCTATTTCACGTGTGCTTGTTACCGATTAAGTTCAGCTGCGATTAACAGCTATGGGACTCCGATTGACTGAAAGTGATTTGGAGAACTCAGGCTTGCAGTTTCAGCATATGTGGACGTGGTATTGAGATGTCACAGTCACAAGTCTTTGGAGGAATGGTCGAGCACAAGTTGCACACACTCATCTTCGTCGCTTCCTATTTTGATTCGGGGATTATGTTTTCTTCCTTCAGTTCGAGAATTTCATGTTCTCGACTTCTTCATTCTCATTATCTGAAAAATTTAATTGACTCGTCATTCATCGACGAAAACGATGAATGACGAGCTCTAAAGCTCATTTCTCCATCCGACCTGGGGCTTGCTCCAAACCTCACGCTATGATGCCATAAGGACAAGGCGAGTGACAGATCAAAGGGTGGGAGTCCGAGCACAGCCTCGGTGATGGGCCACACCTGGCAGATACAGATACAGCTAGAGGATGAATGATCGATCGTTCCCGAGCATCGAATCCTTCAAGCTACATCAGCAAGTACAGCAATTCTCGAATCAACAAAACTACCGTGTTCAAAACGCGATTCAGTCTGACTGACCCTCTGTACAGCAATTCGGCAGAGCATAGAAGAGAACCGTCGAATGGACCTCGTTAAAAAAGCAGAAAGCATGCGTTTGACTTTCTTCCCAATACTGAAATCAAGAGAACGAGAGCTTGATGACTGCTTGAGAGAAGTTGATGACAGAGTCGAGATGAGAATGTAAATTCAGTCGATCAAGATCATGAATTTTGGGGCATCAGTAAATTCCGATTGCTCGAAGAACAACCTGGTGCTCCAACGCCGACCCGTGCAAACTCTGCAGCACGAAATGACGAAGCGATGACATCCAGATTTATGGTTCCATGGCCGGAGATGTTGCCTTGAGCATCCGATCTGACCTCCTCAGAGCACAGCGTTCGATCAGGAGAGAGAGAGGTGAGAGGGCACACCTGACAGCAGATGCTTCAATGAATGAACATCTGTCCAGATAACCTGACACAACTGGAAGCTTGCTTGGTGGTCAAGCTGGGCCGCGATGGATGGATCGAGGGCAGAGCTGTGCGAAAGCAGGGCGAAGCTGAGAATAGTGCATTGTGCTGCGCATTGGGCGTGGATGACGGACAGTGAACACGATGTACGCAATCCATCGGTCATGGGGTTGGAGCCGGGCTATATATGCCACAGGGCCAGCGATGGATGCTCACATTTGATGGATGGATTTGATCGATTCGATTTGGATCCGGGCGACGAGCGAATTTGGATCCACGACCTCTTCTCGCCGGGACAGCAGGGGAGGGGGAGGGCTCCGATGAGTGATGAAGAAGGGTTGCCGGCCCGTGCTACACGCGGGGCACCTTGTTCTCCCCCCCTCCGACATTGCGAACCGCGCAGGGCAGCGAGAAAAGGATGATGGCCTGTAATAATCTGCCACTGTTGTGTCGGATTTCGATCTCCTGGAAGTTCTTGATTCCTCTCGAGATGTCTCTCGTCGGTCTTGAAAAGCACGCAGCGTGCCCTCGGACACAGGTGTGGTGATGAGGAGCGACGAGGGCACCACCTTCTGGCTCCCTGAAACAGATTGTAGAGGAATGGAGTCCTGAACAAGTTCCTGTGCGTGTGTTGTAGGCTCAGCCGGAACCTAAAAATCACAAGAATCTTCGTCGACATCGATAGGGTTTGACGTCTTTCGATTTCTTGATCGAGTGAGTTTTCTTGATCGATCGGTGGCGGCGCGTGGCGAATTTGCTTCCGGCCGAGAAGTTAGTGAGTGCAGCAAGCAAGATGTCGTCGAGAAACGACGGTGTGGAGCCTCTGATGGTGATGACTGACCTGCGCAGGATCTATAATCTCATCGACATCATGGTCTACTCGCAGCAGTTGGTTCGCAGGCACAAAGCCGAGGCTCAGGCATTCGTTGAATATCTCAAAGATCTCGGTGAGTTCATCATGCTCCACGTTCCAGTCCAGTCCACTCGGCAACTCATCGACACATTCCTTCGTGGATTGTTTCCATTCCACCGTTAGCTAATCTTCAAGCTCCTCGATTGGTATTCATCTGCCTACACACCGCTCTTCTTAATACCTCTCCAGCTTCACTGGGATCCCAATCCCAATCCCATTCCCAAGTAAATGAAGACCTCTCGTTCTTCAAGCACCCCATCACCATATCTGAATTGTGATTTCCAACGATACTCTTGACATCGTGTCGACTAGTTTCCATAAATTCTACCCGCTCCTGTATCAAGGTTCCATGGATGAACATCAGATTCTAACCAAAGTTTAGACGTCACGCATTATGTGTGAGGATTATACTGTAGCCAAATTGTAAATGGAAATTAGGAGCCATGAGTAAGACCGAGGAAAGGGCTATCTATTGCATCGATGACTGTCGAGCCTTTGAGGATTTGATTGATAGCCAGCACTTTGATGTTTGGACACGATGATGCATCCTGCAGATTGCACGTTGCATGAAAAGGCGGCAATTTTGTACCCAGACAGCTACGGACTTCTCAGCCGAGGTTGGCACAAACAATTGCACGAGCTGGAAGAACTTCTTCGAAGTGCTCAGGAGCTGCTGAAGGATTTGGCTGAACCCCTGCATCTATTCACGCATGCAACTGAGAGATTCAAGGAGCTCCGTGCGAAGATGACTGAGTGCTTAAATTTGATGACCATTCTTCTACTATTTGTTCCTCCCGATCACATGGTTTTTATACTCGGCCTACCCTTCATACATATGGCGCATTGTCCTTTTCAAAATGCTTTATGATTCTATGATACATGTCTTCCAATATGAATTATATGCCTGGATAGAATATACACAGCAAACAAAATGCTGAGCATTTTGTTTTAGCTCAGCAGTGCAAGAGCTTGAAACTGGCCACTGGTGAAATTTGACCGTCGTTTGGTAGGGAGGAGTAAGAAACTACCGCTTGCTACAAATTGTAATCAATTTGTAGCAATCAGTAAGTAGGATGGTAGATCACAATAGAATTGCGATCTAGCATCCTACTTACTGAACCGGAATTGCAATGAACACTGGTTAGCTAAAATTCAGTACTTTGAAACTCCACAAAGTTGGCCAGGCTTTTTTTTCAGCTTCTCTTTAAGTAGAGAACACGAGGTGAGAAACAAAGCTTTCAGGTGAAGCTCCATTCTTTTTCATATATTGTTTTTAGCTGGCTTCATATGCTTCACACTTATTCAGTAATGATAACGAAATCTGCAGGGCCGTCAAGCAGAGCCTCTCTATACCCTATCAATGCTAGACCCGCCTCCAGCGGAATGGTATCAACCTCCACCTCCTCAAGATGTGCTTCTCGAGACCAGGACGGCTAGCCTCAGCTCCAGGTATGGTTACCTTCTGTGTTACAAGTCATTCTTCTGGTCGTTAATCTCAGAGAACAGCAAACATTTCTGCTCTCGCTAATCGAACGAACCTCTGTCTTGTGCCCTTGTTCCCGATTTGTGATTGCAGAGGAGTAGAAGGAGGACAACGCAAGTTGACGAGGACAATGACCTACAAAAAATGGAGAAGATTGAATGAAATGAAACAATCGCATCAACATTTCAGTGATCTTTTCAGCTATGTCGACAACAGCGAGCAGGCTGTTCTTCTCAACACTTGCTTTGAAAATTGGCACACCAGCAGAGAGCGCGCTCACCCTGCTCCTTCCCCGTACTTCACGAGTATGTTGAGTGATCCACACCGAGCACAGCACGATAGTTCTGAACATCAGTGACTTCGATTTCTATCCTGACGAGCTACAGTTGGAATCATTTGCAGTACACTCGAAAGAGGGTTTTGTTCTTGTGCAGTAGCAAGATTTGGACCACTAGGCTCACTTGTGATTTACTCATGTTCACGATTCTTGCTTGTGTAAATTAATTGTAATATACTTGTTCCCTGATCTACTTATCCATGGACCTGGCAGTCATAAGATGTAAAGAGCAAATCGACCATGAGCCCATGAGATTTTTCAAGTATCAGAATGTTATCATATCAATGTGCAGTAAGTTCGTCAGTGCTGAATATATGCTACCTTCAAATCACAGCTTTTTATTGAATGAGCAGTCAGGTAGAAAACAAGTTCCGATATTGTTCCTCTTGACGCTCAGTCTCCCTCAAGTCGCTGACGATGTCGTAATCTTCGAGAATGGTCGTACACTTTCAGGCTTTTTGTACTCGTGCTTAGAATCTGAATGTCGAGTGTCTTGAGGATTAAGTAGACATACTTCAATGTTGCAACGACGTCCTCTTTCTTCCTGCTTTGTGGATGTGGAATGGCCTGTGTCGTTGCCTTGGACCTCAAGCTGGCGGATTCTTCGCAATCTTGTTACAAATTCTTCGCGAAGAGGTACCAGAAAGAAATCGGATTCTAGGACTGTCAATGGTAACTTGATGATAGAGCCTTGTATAAACTTGACTGCTCCCTCGTCCACACATCCAGTTTAACTTCAGTTCAGTTCAGTCCAAAGATGCTTCTCGTCGCGTTCTCCAACCGACGTGATGGATGTAGTGCGCGGATTGTTCTACATCATTTTTCTTTCCGTTGAAGTTAATCCTCAACAACAATTATTCATGTGATAAGAACTGGCGGAATCAGGACAGCAATTGATGGCCAGAAACTTCGAAGCCGTCTCAGAAGCACATCTCTACGATAGCCGTTCCTGGAAACCCCGAGGGCCGAATCGTCGGCTGCAACATATTTGCCAATGTTGGTCTGCTGCTGACTGACTGCTCGAGTTGCAGGTCAGATGCTCGATTGCTGTGCTGGGTGGGCCTCTCACTGTGTCCTGACTGATCATCACCCACAGTGCCTGATGACTCTTGCAGCCCGGGACGGGCGGTGCTATATCTGCTGAGTGCACCTCCATCATCTACAACTCTCGTGATGCTGGGTGTTTGGAAATCGTGGGACCCGGCGATGGCGCTTGCAACAAACGTACCTCTGGCGAACGAGATCTTGGTATCACCTGCAACTCTGAATCTGCCTGGCCTCACTTCGCAATCTGTCTGGTCATTCCCGAGGGAGTGAGCTGATTCGAGGTAAGACAATACAGATGACGCAATAGGGGATTCATAGGATTCATCCTCGAAGAGGAGGAGAATGCAAAGCAGCAGGAGCAGGAGCAGATTAGTCAGATGAAGAATGAGTTCTGGAGTGCAGCTTTTTACTTCTATCCATCTGGAGTTGATACAGGATTGAAGATTTAGCACCTGACGAGAGACGACTACAAATGACTAATCTAATCTACAGATCGAGAATGCGATCCTCGGGTTTGGATGAGGATTCCTGCTGGCTGGCCTGGCTGTTGGACTTGGGCAGCTGCTGGTAGCCGAACCAACGTTGCGGGAGAAAACATCGGCCTCCATAGCTCTGCTGCACGAGGCAGTAAACGAGGAAGAACAGAACGGTGGCGGTGATCCCCAAAAACCAGCCCCAAGGAAAATCACTGAATTCATCGTAGCCATAAATGGTGGGCCGCAGAGAGTCGTAGCCTATGGAAGCGATTCTCAGCAATGAAACTCCCACGGTGTAAACAGGATGCAAGGGCTTGGTCCTCAGGTCCCAAAACACATTCGCCACCACTTGAGGCAGCAGAAACCAGCACCGGACCACCTGCAGATACGTCCTGAAATTCTGCAGCGACCACAGAACTGCACCGATGGCCGCATAGAGAACGATGCACACGGATGCCAGTCGAATCTCATGGGGTCTGTCAGGGATGTTGCTTCTCTTGGCCATGCGCCGCTTTCTCAGGATCAACGAGAGGAAGAGGAAATTGAGCACGATCAGCAGCAGGATCAGGAAGCTGGGAATGAGAAACAAGTTGGTGAACAGGTGCTTGAGGTGCCTGTAATTCAGCAGGCGAATTGGAATGTACAGCATTCCAGCTGCACTGAAGCTCATCACCACAATCTGCACTAAAATTGCCAGCACCGACACGAAGTAGCCCGAGGGAGACCTGACGCTGTAAATAATCTGCCAGACGAGGATTGCAGCCTCGATGGCATACAATCCAGCCCCGATGAAAACCTCGTGCCTGTACAAGGCCATATGGTCGACATTGTTGAACACTTTGCCGCTGAGAGAAATCGGAGCGAACCATTGAGGGTCCGATGAGTTGCGAGCGCTTTCCATGGTGCCTGTCACTGTGAGATCGTTCGGGCCCTGGTTTGCGACGAACTCCATGCTCCCTCGAAGGCTGCAATCGCGCTGCTCGCCTTGCCAGAGATCGTCGGGAATTTCTCCGGCTGTGCTGCTGTCAGCAGTGATCATGGCGGTGCCTTTGCTGTCGTCGTCGTCGTCGGGAGAGGTGAATGTCGGGCTCGTGAAAGGCTTGGCAGCGCAGCCCACGAGACATGCCTCCCACGTGCCGACATTCAGCAGGCCCGATGCTTCGATTATGGGACCGATGGGAGTTTGCTTGCTGTCGAGAATGAAAATCGAGGCGGTGACATTGTGAATTCCTCCCCTGGACGCGTTGATTCTCGACGATAAGAAGTCGAATTTCCCGTCGCTGGCTTGGAAGAATTCCGAAGCCGACGACGATGCTTTGCGCCTCGTCTCCTCCTGCCTCCACCACCTGCCCCTCATAAAAACACCCGACGACGAATAGGGCGAAAACATCGAGCTCGATTCAAGCTGCTGCTGCTGCTGCTGCTGGGAGCTCCATGCTTGCAGCTTGTCCCGACAACCCTCCAAAACGAGACCATAGAGGTCGCTAGAGAACCCGCCTTCTGAAATTGCCACCGCACTCTGAATCACGAGCACTGCGCTCACCCACAAGAGCTTCAGCCCCAGCCTGATGCTCCACGGTTGCTTCATGATGATTCTGCTCGATGATACGAAGCTTTTCTGCTGGCCTCATGAACTTGCCAAGGGATCGATCGATTTTCAGCTGGAGGAGGTGCTCGCTCTGCCTCCGAGCTCCGCCATCGTCTTCATCATCGAGGAGCTGCGAGCTTCACCGCCGCTTCATAGCTAGTTGTGCAGCGAGGGAGGGAAGGAGCGAGCGATGGATGAACTCACTCCGAATTAAAAACTCGAGAAGTCAGAAGTCTTGGGACTTGGCGACCATCGAGGACCAATGGCTGAGCTTCAGCTCGAAAGATTCTAGAGGTCCAAGTCTACGGGAGAGACATCAAGACCAGTGGCCAGCTCAAGGGTGCTCAATGCTCTTCCAGCAATCAATGGCAGCAGAGGGCTAATGGAAGGAAGGCGAATGCTCTGGCTTCACTCCTCCGCCTCCATGCTCGTGCATCCCTGCGAAGAGTCGATGTCGCGAATGGAGGAATGGGTTAGAGAGCTGAAGCTGAAATCCCTCCGATGGTGATAGGAAGGAGCTCGTGCCCTCGACACCTCAAACTCAACAGGAGCTCGAAGCTCGACAAACGCATCTACACAAACGTCCAACGAACGCACCTCCGCAGCTCGAGCTCGGTTCCCGACACACTAAGAAGACGACGACGATGACGACGATGATGACGACGACGATGACTAACGGTGGCATCGTTCATCGGCCCAATCTTCCCTCTTTGGCGAACGCCATTCTCCGCGTACATTCGACTTCGAATGCCTCCATCGCTTGTGATTCGACCAGGGGCACCTTCTTCTTCTTCCTCCTCTTCTGCGGTGACAGTGACATCAGTGACATCGTCCGACCTCGTTCTGCAATTATTCTCAGTCCTGATCTCGACGATCGAGGATTAGGCCCGCAGTATTCATCGACAATGCTGGAGCCACATCCTGTTGCAGAGAGCGATGGATGGAAGGAAGAAAGAAGGAATCTCAGCTGGAACTCACGTTGTCCTCGTTGACAGCAGTACGGCCCACGGGCCTGTGTCCGTCATAAAAACTGCAGAAAAATTGCAGCATCGTTTCAGAGCTCGAGGACCGTTTCAAGGCAGGTCTCCACATGTCAGTCCTTCAGTGATTGTTGTCGTCCCACGGCGTCTCGTCTTGCACCATGTGAGCACGCAACCGCAACAGCCATTCAGAACTCATTCTCAAGTGCATCGAGATGTCGAGATTGGCAGCCTTTTGGCTCGATTCATGCAACGTCGCATTCCTCCTGAACTGTTTGTTTCCCGTGATTGATGACTCGCTCCAGAATCTCTCGTCTCTTTTTGTGGTTGCAGAAAGAGGGCTCAATTCTGTGACTACTACTGATCAAGCTCGGAATTGTATGGAATGTGCGAGCATGACATTGAAATTTTCTCAATTTTAAAGATTGAGTGCGTGCAGTGTACACTGCCTTGCCTCGTGATTCAGTCCTGGAGTATTCTCATTTTCTTCTTCTCATACTCTTCAAAGTCATGAAGCTTTTTGCTCCGTATATTCATTCATAGATGTACATGCCTGAGGCAAGATTTCATGCTTTGCTTCTGTGGATCTAGGAAGGATTTTTGTACACAACGTTTGCTGCCAATACAAGTCGCTTTGGAAGGAGCTTCCTTCGCAAATTCGATGTGTTACGATGGTTGCCTCGTCCAACATAAACATCGTATGGCAAGAGCTTTCTTCAATTTGGGCATGGTGGGTTCATCTCGACGAATCTATAGATCCTCTGCTATTGTGCATCAAATCAGATCAACAGAAAAGCAGGATGCTCTTTTATCGAATGTCCCTAATTTTTATCTTCTTTTAGTGCAAGAACATCTTCTCTCTAGATTCGAAAGAACGATCACAAATCTGATAGCCAGGCATGTGCTCTAAATGAAGCAGCAAATCAACTATGGCAAAAGAAGACCAGGTTGCATCTCTGGCCTAACAAAGAGTATTAAACAACATCTGAGCAGAGCTTTGCAAAAAACGCTTACGAAAAGACATGGATGGACTTTCCCTCACGGACGTATATTCCACTTGGATTACGATTTACCAGAAGAAATTTGATCATTGATAGAATGTATCGATAGTTGAATCGGAGCAATCTTCATTCACATGAACATAGTTTCTAGTGAAATCTTTTTAGCTCATCCATCGTCATAGAAACTTCTGATATTCCGTATTTTGCTATATCTTTGACGAACATGTTATTCATTCTCCTTGCCACTTGTAATGTCCACCCACACCACATATTCAGCATTTATTTGAAATCGTGTGTTTTTCCACAACCAAGTCGCATGATCATATTATTCAAATTGTCAAAGCTTTTAAGTTCTCTCCCAAGCCACAACCACCATAGTTTAGTTGATCTCAACTTTCTGGACTATTCGTACATGTAGGGATCTAAATCCACATAACCAATTGAAAATCACAGTCCACACACAAACACAAGAATTTATTGACAAGGTTCAGCTCAAAAGTCTAATTCCCACTAACTTATCCATGAAGACAGTTTGAGTATATATCCGAGATCAATGTTGGCTTTGAGCTTTCTGCTGTCATTAAAAGATTTCAGTCCGGTGAAAAATACACACAAATCACTCATGTTTTTCGAGCAAGTCTAACCCTTCCTCACATATTATTCAATGTGTTTCCCAATTCTCACTCTCAATTTTTCTTGAAATCCCTTCATTGTCATTTGTATTTTAATCCGCTTTCTGACTTTATATCATCTTGACTTATAACAGTAAAATATCAAAATGTATCAAAGCTGTCAATTCCTATAAAGCCCATATATATTGACTCATAAGTAAGCTATTACTAAACAATAAAAATGACATGTAACTGAAGTTGATATCTCAAAATCTCCACCTTAGTCTTCAGTTTTGATCTTGTTCGCTTGTACTCGAACTTGGTACTCATACTTCACTGATTTTGCTCAGTCATGGTACATCAACTCTGAGAAGCTTCACACATAATCAAAACTTTCCCACAGTTACCACTTTCGTGCCCCAGTCTGCCAGGTTGTCAATAGTGCCGATTTTTGCAATGTTGATGTGGTCATCAGTGATGGAGTGGTACTTGATGCCAACATGCTTTGTTCTATCCTGGAGTGTTTTCATCTGTCGTGAAACACTGAATTTTTGCACAGATGGGTTGCACTCTGGCTATCGGAGAAAAGTGTTGTTGTAACTTGAAACACATGTAACTTTGCAGGCTTTGAATCCATATAACTTCCTTCGCTAACTTGGTGGCATCAATAGTTTCTGCTTCTATTATGAATAAAGTCACATCAGGCTGTAACTTTGACTTCTAGCTCACGCAATTGCCATTGATCAATAATTGATAAGTTGTAGTAGATTCCATGCTATCTTTATTCCTGCGTAGTCAAAGTGAACATATACCTCCACCAGAACTGAATAAATTCTCTTGCAGTTCACTAAACACACATCAAGAGTGACTTTCAAGTACATTAGTAGATGTTTCATAGCCCACCACTATTCCTCACCAGAATTTGACATGTATCTGCTAAGTACACTAATGGCATTGACAATATCAAGTCTTGAATACACCATGTATACATGACTGAGCCAACTGCACTTGAATATGGAACATCTTTCATGGTTGGCTTTGTTGATGCTGACATAGGACATTAACTTGCAAAATGGCTGAAATGATTTGCAAAAGGTAGAGTCATTGGCTTTGTATTTCTCATGGCAAATTTCTCAACTTGCTTATCTAAATAGTCATGTTGTGACAATGCCAATGAATCATTTTTCCTGTCTTTGATGATGCTCATTCCAAGGACTCTTGTAGAATCACCTAAATCAGTCATATCAAACTCTTTGCTCAAAATCTTCTTGAAATCTGATATCTTTGAGGTTGAGCTGCTGATCAATAACATATTGTCTACATACATGATAAGATAGATGCTTTTCAATACTTCAAATCCTTTGAAATACAAGCATGCATTATAGAAACTCCTTTTGTATCCTTGTTCAAGCATAAATGTGTCAAAACGTTTATATCATTGATGTGGTGATTGCTTCAAGCCATATAGCAATTTCTTTAGTAGACACACCATGTCTTTGACTTTATGCACTTCACATCCTGGTGGCTACTCCATGTAAATCACTTCTTCCATGTCGCCGTGAAGAAACGTTATTTTCACATGCATTTGATAGAACTTCAAATTATACTGAACCACAAGCGCGAGCATAATACTTATGATTTTTTATTTTACCATAGGTGAGAAAATTTCATTATAGTTGACTCCTTCAACCTGTGCGAAGCCTTTTGCCACTAGCTTGGTCTTGAACTGAGACTTGTTAGCATTGACTACGTCTACTTTGATCTTGTAAATTCATCAACATGTCACTAGCTTTTGATTTTGAGGTTTTGGAACTATGATCCAAGTTTTGTTTCTATGCAGCGATTCCATTTCATCTTTCATGGCTTTCTTGCATTTTTCTAAATTTGATCAAGCAACAGCATCTTGATAGTAGAGATGATCCTTCATCAGAATCTCTAAGGTTGATGTGAACGTGTAAACAAGAATCTTAGAGCATGCGGAGAAGTCATATCTCTAAGGAGGTCTTGACACTCTCTTTTCTCTATTCTTAGTCAGAAAGTAATTATTTTGTTGTTGAGATTGCTCTAAGTTGTTGTGGCTTGTCGCCTCTTGTTCGCAATTGCCTTACTCTTGATTAGTTTGATTGCTTGGTTCAGTGACATGATCTAGAGCTTGCATGTCCTGATCTTCATGATCACTTGAGTTGCTTAAACCTTGGGCTTGTGAAGGAGTGACATGAATAGTTTGCTCCACCTAAATAATATTCTCTAAGGTTTCTGCTTGGTTAGTGGCACTCACAACACTAGAACTTGGATCAGTCCATGATTGACAAGGAAATACAATCTCATTAAATATCACGTCTCTACTATTGATACTTTGAAACTATTACCTTCCTTTACCCTCAGTCTATACTCCTTGGCACCTTGTTGATAGTCAACACGCATTTGATGGCTCTTGGCTCCAATTTGCCTTGACTTTGATGAACATATGCACACATAGTGTTGCTTTGCTAAAATGCAATGCTCGCAAAAATCAAATTTGCTAACTTTCTACTTTCTTAGCACTTGGTTGTTCATATGCTGTAGACCCTTCTCAGAGATATGACCAAGCCTTTGGTGCCAAAATGTAGCTTTGCTCTGGTTATAGATAGCGGCAACTGACACAATTTCTCTCTGATGAGATAACAGAGACGGGATATCTTGATACCCTTCAAAAAAATAACATTTTTTGCAATATACATAAAGCCTTGCTATATCTTGTTAGTATAACCCAAGTCATTAAGAATGTCTATAGAGATCAGATTACTATACAATTCAGTCACTCATTTAACATTTTCAAGAATTCTCATAATATCATCAAGCATGTTAATGCGAACATATACTATACTAACAATAAATTAAGAACAATTGTTAACCATTATTAACTTTACTTCTTTGACTTCTTGGTAGTACAACAACCAATGCGTGTTGTGTGTCCAACTAAAGTCAAGGATCCAATCCAAGGCCTTGAGCTTTACTAATGTCATGAGAACTTCGCTGTCGTTGTTGTCATCATCAAAGTTTGCTGAATCTTGGTATCCTTGTGACGTGCTAGTGTAACCATCTTTAGTTAGTTAGAACTAAAGTAGAAGTTACTCTGAATATTGATGTAGATACTTTAGTGTGCACTAGTCATAGCTGCCACGTCAGCGATCCGCGCACTTGGTAGGTACAGAGTGGATGTGTTAGTTGACAGTGCCACGTCAGCAATCCGTGTGCTTGTAGGTAAGGATTGAGTGTGTTAGTTAGTGTGTTAGTTGGGTGCGCCACGTCAGCGATCCGTGTGCTTGTTAGGGTTATCCGCCTCGTCATCCATCCACTAAGAGTGGGATGGATGGTGTGGATTAGATCTTATCACCTTGTACTTGTTGGTGAGAGCTATGTAAGGGAGAGGAGAACCATTGTTGGGATCGCTCTTTTTCAGAGTTTACGTTTCTATCTTCGAGTGAACTTCTCTCTAAACCCTAGTGTTACAGCTAGCTTGATTCTCCTTGTTTTTCTTAATCCATGAGTAACAATCTTTCTTGATATGATCCATCTTGTTGCATTGAAAGCACTTCTTGTCAGCGTTGGAGCTGGTGCTTTGATTGTTGATCTTTGTAGATGTTTTGTGTGATACATCGTGAATTCAAAGAGACTCTCCTTCAAGTAGATCTTGTTGGATTGAGAGCGAGATTGAAACATCTACTGAAGCTTCTTCCACACCTTTGCTTGTGTGTCTTTCTTGTCAATTATGTGCATAATTGAATCAGACAGGTGAAAGATTATTGTACCCATAGTCGTTTTAAACAATCCTTCTTGAGTAATGTCTTCATGCCATAACACTAGGTCGGAGATGACACTGAGCAATCTTTGTTGGGCAAGGAGCGTTGAAATTTTGCAGCGCCATATGCGGAAATCTCCACTGTCATCAAATTTCTTGATGTCGATTCTCATTGATGTCGAAGGGTTCCAAGAACTACAACTCTGTATGCTTCCTTGAGAGGAATTTGTGTTTGTGCTTTGCTGTGAAAGGTTGTCGCTCCTTTTTGGCTAGTCGGTGCGTCCAGCGAGGCAGGCAACTCGATGCTTTTAAGTCCGCTAGGATGAATTGAGCGCAGGAGATATATGCAACAAAGCTGTGAAATCAAGATCAATGCTACAATGCTATGATACCACTGTAGGTATCTGAATCCAAATACAAACTGAAAATTACAATCCACACACACAAACGAACACAAGAATTGATTTACGAGGTTCAGCTTGAAAGCCTAGTTCCCACTAACTCCTCAATGAAGGCAGTTCGGTCTTGACCTTTCTACATTCATTACATGATTTAAGTCCGGTGAGAAATAAACGCAGACAATCACTCATGTTTCCCCAACAAAACTAACACTTCCTCACAACTAATTCTCTCTCAATGTGTATCCCAATTCTCACTCTCAACCTTTCTTGAAATCCACTCACTTTAATGTGTATCTTAATCCGTTGCCTGACTTTATATCATCCTGACTTATAATGGTAAAATATCAGAATGAATCAAAGCCGGCAATTCCTTTAAAGCCCATAGTATATTGACTCATCACTAAACTAATACTAAGCAATAAAAACGACAAAAACTCTAAAAGAAAAAGGACATGCAACTGAAGCCAATATCTCGCAGTCCACTCACAGTGGCTCTGCGAGATATTGGCTCTCTCACTCCATGGGGCTGGCTCTCTAGCACCGAGCTTGAGATTTGGTGATAAAACTGGAAGATGGGGTGAATCTATAGAGGCCTCTGAAGCAACTTCATGCTTTTCATCGATGAAATCTTTGACGAGCGAGTGGCCAACACCGACGTCAGAAAAGAGATGCTGAGCTTTTAACGCTTCAAAAGCTTCGTTTTGTTGTTATTTCCTTCTTCCTCGGGGATCGTGGATCTCTGAGACAGAAACAAAAACTTATCTTCATCTTACGCCCATTTGATAGTATTCGATCCGTTTTGCACACGAGTGCACGATGGCTACTGCAGAAGTGCCTCGGTCATCTACATAGCTGATTCAGAATCCAATTGCACGTACTGCAAAGGCGTCATGGACCTTATTATTTCGCTACCCGAGAGATTAAAATCTGCAATCGGACTTCAGCATTGAAGTTATCAAATTAAGGCCTTTCGTTCCCGCGTTTGGGCTAGAAGGAGCACTCGAGCTCGCTCACTCCCTCGCCCAGGGAGTCCATTAAAGTTATTTAAGCATGCAGTCGTGACCAGACAATATGGCATGGGCTCTGGATGCAAACAGAAGCTTGCTTGAAGCATTGTATAGGACTAGGCCTGGGACCTTGGGGCCCGGGGCAATCTGATTCCAGCATTGTTATTTAAGCAGAGCATGACTTTGTTAGTCCAAGGCAAGGAGTTGGGTAGCAGGACGGTAGCAGTGCTGGTGAAGCCCAGGCAAAGTTGGGGTTCACAGCACTGCCGCATCGAAGATGGGCGGCCGATTGTCTGCCACACCTGACAGAAATCTCATGAAGGTCACAGGCAGGCGAGTATGCTTGAGAACCAAACGAACGAGAATCGCCTGACGTGCCTGAGGGGCTCTCCCAAAAACAAACAGAGTCACAGAACGAACGCCGTGCATCTGGAGATCATGGACTACTGCGAACTATCTCTACACATCAACAGCCACTGTTGCTTCCAGCTTCCGTTCTAAATGACCAATTGACTTTCCTCGTAAAATCTCCTGTGTCTGTATGGTACTCAAATATATAATATGACTCCATAAGTACTACAGGGATAAATCCGAACAGTTAGCTGGTGCTAGGCCCCAAATGCGCCACAATTAAACATATGTCTACGGTAAATTATTTCTATACTGCAGAGCTTCCGAGGAAGCATCAGCTAACGTGATTGCTCTGTAAGGGAAGCAGAAACATCATCGCTCATTCATTACTTCATTGGTGATCGCGATCGACAAGCTCAGTATTGGTCACAAACACGTCGTGGCGTCAACGACACTGCATCTAATGACACAAGTGCTCAGAGGAGTATGTATGTGTGACGGAATGGCACAGTACAACTATCCACTGTAGGTCTCTGTGCTCTGGGCTCACTGGGCGGGCTTCAAATCCTGCTCCTTCCTTCTCACTTACGCCAGAAAGTTCCGTGTTACGTTGACCAGAGCACTCGTTGGTGGGTTGCAAGGGCAGGAGTCACCTTTCTCGGAGTTTGCACTCCGAGAAAGAGACTTCCTGGCTCACTTTCTCAAGGGAAACTTTGCACTTTAAACATCCAGTTTTCGAAGAGTGCTTTCGGCCTTTAAGGTTTGCATTTGTTTTTTCCATTTGTTCGACCAGCCGTGTTGACTCACGGAAGATTGAATTTCGGGAACAGACATGAGTGAACAGAGAAATGCACAAGAGTAGGCGGTACTGGCGAGCTAGCCAGGTACGTAGACAGGTAGTCTGGATCATCATAGCCTTTATTATCATTCTGGGCAACGCGGAAACCCAAAATGTCACAATTATGTCTTTCTATGCCTTTCTCTTATAATGAGTTGATTGAATTGCATTGATACTATTGAGCTAAGCGGGAAATATGGTGACATAACTCAAGCTAAGTCTAAATCTGTACATGAACTATGCACTATAGCTACCATTGTCTACGATACCAGTATTGTTAGAAAGCCTTGAACTTGGTGATTCTAATAGGACTTCCTTTGGCAGTGCCAGGGCTGAAATGGTACACAATCTTCTCGTCGGGATCAGCCAGAGTCCACTGAAGATTTTTCAAAAAATGGTGTAGAAACACGAGCATGGTAACCTTCGCCAATTCGATGCCAGGGCAGATGCGCACTCCTCCTCCGAACGGGAAAAACGTGTGGGCTGGTGCGCCTTCTCGTTCGAATCTAGACGGATCGAATTTCTCTGGTTCTTCATAAATTTCCGGGTTTTGAAACGATTGCGCCGCTGTGCATAGGAGCTGCATTGCCAACACAAGGTTAACACACTGATCGAGAAACCTCCGACAAAAGCTTTTGTATTTATGTTCTCGGATTCTTTCACCGGCTTCCTACACGATTTCAGGCTGGACCCATCCATCCTCGAATCGTTTAGAGGTCTGGATCAGCAAGGTTTGAGTATTTTTCTGAAGAAGAAGGTAGTACTCAAAAACTTTGCTGAACTGGCTTTGGGTTTTTCCAAATCCGTCGGTGGTCCAATTACAACAAAATAACTGCTCTGAAAACAAATCTGCAAAGAAGCACACTGAGGGAATAATAACATTTCTGAACATTCATTGTGGACGTTCACGAGCTATAAAATCTGCCAAATTCCTTAAGGCTCCAGAGGTTTCATAAATCTGGACCAAAGGTTCACAGGACGAAGTGAGAGAGAAAATGGAGTGGACATGTCACATATCAAGAGATATCATTACCTTCCAGCCTTTAGGTATGGTGTAACCGTTGTACTCAAAAGTGGCTGTTGCCTCCCGAAAGATTCCAGGTAAAGCGGGATACAGTCTCATCGTTTCTTCTATTACCGTCCAGGTGTACTTCATGTTTTGAACGTCATCGTTCGTCAGAGGTTCGCCCTCTTCTTTTACTTCAGTAATCGACGTATGCTCTGTTCAACCGAAGCATAATCGTCAGCTCTCCGGAAGAAATCACATTTCCTCCAATCACTCAAAATATCAGAGAAAAGAGAGAACAACTTCTCAGGTCATTACAGGGACTTGACTATCTCCCAGCATGCATAGCAGAATCAACTACGAGGTGGTTAATATTGCAAAGTATTTTCTTCTCAGGACTTCTGTTACTACCTCGTGGTCATATATGGAGGGTCTTGGAACCAAACACCATATTTATCAGTATCTAGACAGCAAGCTCAATTTTGAGAACATCCACTCATCTGGTAGCCATTGAGTGCATGTATATAGCCAAGTCTTCCAACAGCAGCTGACACACCATGAAGAATTATGCCAGCTTACGCTCGACTAACCGCAGGATGATCATTTGTAAGGAGGAACGAGCTCAATTACCTGCAATGAGCTTGTCGTACACTTCGGAATGTTCAGTGATTTTCCTGATGGCCATTGTTAAGGTAGCAGCGACCGTGTTGGCGCCACCATGGATCAGATGGAGTATGTTGGTCTTGATCTCCTCATCCGTGTAGAAGTGCCCATTCTCATCAGGTTCTGTCAGCAAGATGGACAAATAATCCTGAGTGGGGGTAGCGGTTCCATCCTTCAGTTCTTGTTTTCTCCTCTGTACATAAGGCTCGAAGAAGCTGAGAATCTCAGCTCTCGCCTTCATGGCCTGGTAGTAGCCACTTCCGGGCAAGTTGATGGGCAGGGCCATCAAACCTTTGGCCCAGATCTCAAAAGTGGGTCGCAGTTTTTCAGACTCGTGCTTGTCCGTAAGGGTCAAACACAGATCAGCAACCAGCTCAAAAGTGAAAATTCTCAACACGTTTTGGGCTTCGAGCACTGATCCATCGATGGTTCCATCCAGCCAGTGATTCTGAATGTGCTCGATGGCTCGGGTCTCGATTTTGCCCAGGTACCGGTTCACCACATTGTGCCCCAGGAAGTGGCTCATCAAGTGCTGCTTGTGGCACCTGTACACGGCACCATTCTCAGCCGACAACACATTCGGTCCCACGAGCTTCAGAGTCGATCCAGGCCAGTAGCCTTGGATCAGCTTCTCATCGTTGCCTTTGTTGAACATGAGCTTGGTGCCATTCGGAGCATCCATGAACACAGTCGTGTGGCCCATGAGCTTGGCTTTGAACACAGGAGACCCGTACTTGGCGATTTTCATGTCGACATAATCCCGAATGGTTCTGTTATAATATGCATTCACATACTGGATCGTGTCTCCGAAGAAGGGCAGCCCCAGGTCGCCAGGAGGCACGTGGTAATTTCGCTCGTCCTCCTTCCTCCCACTGCTGCTCCATACCCAACCCAAAACGATGGCCAGGAACGACAGCAGCAGCACTGCCAGCAGCCCCGCCGTCCCGTAAGATGAGCTCGGCCCGTTCAGACTCGGCAATTGGCCCACGGTTCCTGCCAGCCATGAGTGCTTTCCGATGCCCTCCATAGGTCTCCAGCTAAAACTCTGCAGTCCACGTGCAAGTTTCTCCAACAAGTCCACTGGCCCTTCACATCACAACGACCCAAAGCAAGCAGCGTTAGCATGAAATCCCTGCGCACGAGCTCGATCTGCTAGAGTGCACCTGCTCAAAAATCTTCATCCTTTCTTCAGCTCGAACAACACAAATTCCATAAGTAAATTTCGCTCTCTGGACCAGTAGCCTAAGGAATCTCAGCCTCACCATCATTCCACGATCGATAATTTCTTCCATAGACATCCTCGAAGTCTGATCAGCAGATCGTCATCCCACTTTGCTACGACCCAAAGAAAATCTATCTCTCTCACTCACTCAGCAAGCGCTGAACTGATTCAATTAGAACCACTCACCCTCTCATCAGCAGTCCGGGCGTACAAAAGGCAAAATCTCCTCCTGGATGCGTGAAGTGTACCCTACCCCTGCACTACCAGGACATCAATGGAGGGCACGAGTCTGAGGAAGAATTCTCACCGTGAAGGAGACACGTCAGGGACAGATTGCCATCGAGTTATCTCGCGTGGCTCATCACTCGCGGGCCCGAATGAATCGTCGTCCTCTGCTCACGCCACCGAATTCTGAGACCTGCAGAGACGACGACGAGGTTTATAGTTAGAGGGAGGTCGTCGTGGGATAATTGTGTCGGAGGATTCCAAAAACTTCAGGTACGAGAGTGACGATGCACGAGGAGGCGCAAGCAGCGAGCCCTGAGGCAGACGACGAGAGGAGACGTGGGGGCGGGGGGCGGGGGGCGAACCTGAGGGACATAAAATAAGATTGGATCGGATTGGACCGGAGTGCGCTGCACTGGAATGGACTGGACTGGACTGGACACGACAAGACACGACACGCCACGACACTGTGGGCCGATCGCGCACAAGCGGACGAAGGTGGGCAAATCTGGCGGAACGGCGCAGCAGAGAAGAGCACGGGGACGAGAGCAGGCTTCGATTTTGGTCGGAAGGCGAGAGAGAGCTCGAGGGAGACACGAAGCAGAGGGAGTTCATGAGAGCCCGAGAGTTCCGAGAAGCAGTGAGGCGATGACGGAGAGAAGCGATAGCGAGGCTCAAAGCTCGGCCAAACGCGTCCGATGCTCTCTTATACCTTGTCCGGCTGGTTGTCCTGTACGAGAAGCGGGCTCCCAGAGCTGTCAGAAAACAATTTGAACCGAAGTGATTGCCATGTGATTCATCATTCCCATGTCTGCCTGTCTGTCCGCAATCGGCTCGCTCTCGCGCAGAATTCGACACGGAGGAGTACTTTTTGGGCTCGAGCCCGAACATATCAAACGTGAACAGTGCCAAAGTCTGCACTCCTCATGACGATCGTCTGAACTTTTTCCTGATATTTTGGACCTTCGTGCCCTCTCGTAATGCCTCGGTAATTTTAGTTACCCCCTCCCTCTCGCCCAACCCCAAACCCCCGTAGAATCTATGCCCCCTGTCCTTGTCCTCCCTAAACCCTTCGCCCTCCCCCTCCTTCCCTCCTCTGCCCCCAGTCCCACCCTTGCCCCTCCCCCTGCCCCCTGCCTGGCCCTGGCCCTGCCCCTGCCCCTACCCCTACCCCCTGCCTGCCCCTGCCCCAGCCCCCTGTCGTCTGTCCTTGACTTTGATTTGTGGGCTAATCGCAATTGGGGCCTGTCTCCCCGCTCGCAAACACGCTTACGGGCTTAGCAGAGCTCAGCGGATCTGAGATTCCGACCGGGCGCCTCCGGGCGCTCCCCACCTGCCGTCTGGGGCCTCCTGCTTTGGCCGCATCTGCGCCCTGAGCAGCGCTTGTCGACTTGCGAGTAGGCAGGCACCGCAGATCGTTGCCATGCATCGGCAACAAACGAGCACCAGCTCCATTCTCCTTCATCCTTCCTCCTTCCTCCGAGCGCTGGACAGGATGTGGCTGTTGTGCCCGGATGCACAAATCGCAGACATCCACTTCAGCAGACGGTGACTAAAACGCATCTGGATTTTGTGGGGGTTAATCTTCGTACATCAGCTTTGGATATGATGGGGTTGGATTTGGTAGTGGAAAGAAAAGCCCAGGACTGTATGAGTAAGATATTATTTTGTTTAAAGTTGGAAAAAATTCTTGCTTGCTTTTTCATCTGTTTGATTCGTATGGTTTAGTTGTGACATCTGGATGTAGGTCTCTTTTTTTCTATGTTGATACTTTAGAAAAAATAATTAAATATATATAAATATATATTTTTTATAATTTGATAGTTAAAATTATGAAATCTAAAGTCAGATGGGATGCAGTAGGGTGGTTTTGCATGTGGATGTAAACATCTTATGATTTATCATATGTCATGATAGCTATTAGATTATCATGATAGCTATTATAGATTCATTTTACCTCATGATAGCAGTGTTGAACATCATGTTTAGTGTGTAATTTATATATATATATATATCAACATTGGCTTAAGAGATCTACAATACATCAAGATGAATAAAACATTCAAATTGTTTCAACACTTTCTTGATGTATTTGGCTATTTCTTATTATAGGCGAGGTTATGTATAATTTTATTTTCAAGTCATGAAACTACATTCATTCTCATAAATCACATATTTCATCAGAATATATGTTGTTAGTATTTACAAATTAATAGTAAATATAGTATACACTTGCCTAAGTCCCCCATATTAGTTCGCATCTTACCTTCATGTTTTTCATCTTCATATAAGTGTGCACTTTTTAGAAAAAAAATAAAGTATAAAAATTCTCCAAGTTTATTATCAGCAAAAGTCAAACATGTTCAATTGGCAGTTTTTCTCACCTCGTTCGCGGTCAATGTCGCACCGATCGTGTTGTAGAACACAACAAAATGTAAAAGAAGCTCCCTTAGCCTGATTAATCTGCTCTAAAGACAGATAAGAATAACATCTTAGCTCGTTCATTTCAACCTCAAGTTTGATAACACTCACCATTGTGTGAGAGATCACATCAAACTGATCCATATCAGGGTCATTGTGGCCACGTTCAAGTTCATTTTCTTCAAATTTGACAATCAGAATCAAAACAATAGCATTCAGAGTGTTTTTATTTACTCAAGCAAATATTTTTTATATTTCCGCCAATCCTTGTTGTCATCATTCAAACACTCCTCAATCGCTCCTAACATCAGTTTCACGAGATCCACCAAGAAGTTTATAGTTGCTTAACACTTCAGCAATGTCAAAGAGAATGTCATCATTGTCGCAACGAGTATTATTGACGCTGCCGAATCCAATAATAATATCTACTTTTTTAACAATTTTCCAAGCTATTAGTAGAAGTTTTGTTACAAATAACATTTGCAAAGTTTGCAGCATCAAACAAATACGTAGAACTTCTGTAAGCAATCCCAATGACACCCCTAATGCAAGTTGATATTTAGATACTTTTGGATTATCATAACATGCAACAATATACTTTAGCATGATATACTTGTATCTTTTATTTACGGTTGGGATGATATACATATTCATCGGTTTATTCCAAGAGGTGATATGAGGGGGACAAAAGTAAACATGAATGTCATTGCATTTGAAAACAGACTTAAAAGCATTGTCAAGGAGCAATAACACATTGTGTATTGTACGTACTCATACATGAGGCTAAAAATCTCATCAAATCACTTATTGAATGTTGAATGATTGATCCAAGTGTTCTTTTGATGAAAATAAGAAATGTACTAAGTGTTTTTGGCAATACATGCGAGCTGTTTTGACTTTTCAATCATTGTGATCGATCTTAATGTTATTCTTATGAAAATAAAGGATGTATCAGCTCTTTCCGGCAATACATGCGAGCTGCTTTGGGTTTTCAACCATTGTGATCGTGACTCATCATGTTCCACAAGCGTTGCAACACACCACCAAAGTCATCTTTTTTTTGCCCATTTTTTGCTTCGTATATTGATCATGTCTTCATGATGCATCAACACAATAAATTGTGTAGCAACTTGGAAAAACTATACAATGTCATCCATGTTGTAAACGCATTCGAGATCACATTGGCCAATCACGATAGACAAGTATTTCAAAGCTTTCAAAGTCTCTAGATTGTTTTTGTCGACCTCGCCATCTTCTTCAAACACATTTACGTCGTTTAAACTATGTCGATGTCAAAATCTCGCAAACCAACCTCACGATGCCTTGAAACTATCATCAGCCATCTCTATTGCAATCGCAAACCATTTTGCTTTGTGGCAAATAATACTGGGAGGAAAAACAAGCAAAGCTCGTTAACTTGTATCAATCCATTCAATAAGCTTCTTCTCAGCATCAGCAAACATCAACCGAGAAGCACAGATTTTTGACTTCTTAGTGGCTGATCGACCGTCTATACTCGTTCACAAATTTTATTTTTGCTAGATTTTATATTTTGAATAATTGTTTATCAACACCAAACTTGCATCAATCCATTCAAGAAGCTTCTTCTCAGCATCAGCAAACATCAACCGAGAAGCACAGATTCTTGACTTCTTAGTGGCTGATCGACCGTCTATGCTCGTTCACAAATTTTATTTTTGGTAGATTTTATATCAACATCAAACTGTTAAGCAATGTTGAGCATGAACGAGGACTTTGAAGCCTCTAATAAATTGATAATTTTCATATGATGATGGTCATTTAGACACAAGTTTAAAAGTTAGCCTCACATTCATTGTATAAAATGAAGTAATGAGATACTCACGAGTTATATACTCTTTATTTTATGGTGAAGCCCTTAATATTACTAAATTTTGCATCCAGATAATTCTAAACCATGGTCAAAGTGCGGCCTTAAGGGAGTGTATAATGTAGATCATCAATCATCACGGGCACATATGAAACATAGTTAAATTTCCGATACTCAAGACGTTCATAATAAATATCACTTGAGAAAAACAAAATTTACATTTGGTTAAGAATAAACATATAACTACTATAAACATTGTGTTTATATCTACAAAATAGAAATAACTTGCTTAGGAAGAAAATTATTTTCTTTATTTCTCAATGTACAAGAGACTATGATCACTAGATCTCTATAGATAGAATAAGGTTTCAAAGAGATAAATGCTGATCTTGGAAAAATATGAAATTACGTATTCCGACTAAGATTTAATTTTGAGATACCACATGAGATACTATCATATAATGCAAAGATAACAAAAAATGAGTATTTCAGATAACTAATATGCATTTTTCTGCTGAAAGTTTATGCAATTTATGGTATATCAATCATATGGGTGGTGACGATTCTGTGATGACTAATAATATGTAGATCTCATGATTAATAATGTATCATAATAGATGATTATGATATACTATATGTAGAAGGATATACGGTATATCATATACCAGATCGAGGCCTAGTCCCACCGTACCCTTTGGTTCCCTAAATGGCCAACTTGACGAGGTCTCGCCATCCTTTTCAGAAAATACTACTATAGACATGTCATAAATACGTAAACTCATGACTCCTAGAGTCTACAGGTTCTCTAATTTGCATAATCATTAATAATAATAATTTGCAGTTCATGCAACGCAGGTCTATGGCTTCTCGTTTGACTTTTGCCAGCGAAGTAACAACCATTCACTCGGTGGGACTGCGTGTGCAAATGCCAATGCAGATCGAAGTAACCAAATGCCATCCCGGTAATTCTGGTGATGTCTATCTGAACAGATACGTAAACACTTCGAGAGGAAGTTACCAATTAACTGTCGAAGAGAATGCCCTCTATAGATTGTGCAAGGAAGAGAAGCCTATGGACTCTAGGAGTCATGAATTTATACATTTATTCTACACGCATCGTCGACTTTTTTATGTCCATCGTCGACTTTTGTTTATGTCTGTTGCCTGCTCCTGCTTTGAATGGAAGCCGGGAAAGGAATGAATGAGCTTTTCTAGAACGCGAAACGCTGACCCAGAGGATCAAAAGCTCGAGGCTGGTGGTTCGGGCTGATCCCTCGGCCTGTGGACAAGATCCCGTCGCAGTAAAGGGAGATGGAGGGGAGAGGAGGACATTGCGAGCAGGCGAAGGAAAAGAGCAGAAGGGCCAAAGGAGATGGGGGAAAGGAGTCCTGCCTGACTGACTGACACTAGGCTATGAGAATAGGCACATGAACTTCACGAAATCCCAGAATCCTCGTTCCCGAAAGAGAAAGAGTTCAAACTCTTGCTTTTCCGAATCCTCCAACTACTTGCGAAAGTGGGGCTGGCTGGCCAGTCACCGAAGCCCTTCGTTGGCCTTTGGAATTGCGCCACTGTGTCGTCGAGCAGTAACGGATGGTCCTTGTGTTCCAAGCCACCACCGTTCTCCTCCCATGTGCGCAGCGATCTGCCACACTTTGGAAACGGGGTGGTGTGTGCAGGTATCCAGCTCCAGCTCCAGCAAGAGCTCGAGCTCGAGCTTGTCTGAAGAACACTCCCTCTGCTTCACTGGAATGATGAAGGCTCGAGACGCCAGAGCCGCAAATTTCGTGCACATCCATTTGTCAATTGCTCGAACTTCGACACTTGGGGGCCGATGATGCACCCTCTTTGAGTGCACGCTGTGTCCGCCCCTGCTTTGGCTAGTTTGTCTTTAACTGCATGCAGGCAATCCGCGGAATGAGCAGCAGCAGCGGCATCTGCACTGCTCTGCTCTCTTCAATGGCTTTGTCTTCAAGTGCATGCAACAGAAACCGTTTGTTTAAAATCTCAATCCGACCTCCTCCTTCTGCAACCTCACCTCGCTTTATATCATTCTCAAATCTCAATAATACCCACCTCGTTTCACTTCGCTCTCCCGTATCAACCCCGATTTTTGTCTTACCGCATCCGTGTTCGCATGCATCAATGAATAGAAAACGATCTGCTTTTGCATGCGGCTTCAATCATGACGTCGATTATATCTGTTCTTAAATCTTATACTAACAGTATTCTGCAGCCCGTCCCTAAATCCTCTGAAGGGTTCCCTCGCCTATCTGGGCATTTAGTAAAAGCAGAGAGCTCAGAGTCGGAGGCGCCAGCAGCAACTGATGCCATTGGACTCGAACCATCTCCTCGTGTACGTTTCGGATGCTAGGAGGAGGAAAAGAGGATCAAATTTCCACATGCGAACATCATGGCGGATTTTTTGGAATATAAAAAGTGCGTAATCAGAACAAGCGATCAGCTCGACCCATACAGTGGAAGTAGGACCTGCACTATCCTCCTGCCGAAGCAACGGAAAGCTCTTGCGCAACATCGATCCTAATCTTCAAGTCGCCGGCACTGCCAAGCGTAGGCCATGGCAAAAGAAAGTCAGTGCTTAGGTGCTGTACTGCTCAAAGCTTTTTCCTTCCCGTCTCGCGTCAAGCGGCTGCATTTTATAATATTTCTCGTGCCGTACGATCTGGACGCTTTTGCATCCTCGCTTCTCTGTGTGACCCGTGTCTCGGACCCGGTGAAAAATCTTATCATGTACTTCCAAATGATGATCCACGGATTCTGCCACAGCAGCTATGGAATAGATTTCTCATAGAATGTTTTTGCGACATCGGATTCTCTCGGAAAAGTCTACACTCTTCCAAATTCCTCTCTCTCTCTCTCTGTCTCTCTCAATCCCTCCCTTTTCACCATGACGAGAAATACGCATAGATACCCATTGATCGAACAGCAAAGCACAAGGGGGCTCCGACAGTGACACTATGAACGAGTCATATAAGTGAATATACATCATAGTTTATGCATATCGGGAGTTTCTTCACAACTTGCTTTTCTTTTGCTTCCAAAACTCAATCCACAATTCCTTTGTTCACATTATCCCACATCTCACGTTCGATCGATGAAGAGATGAGATGTCCATAACTTGCGTCGCGATCGGTTTTCTGAAGATGCTCAACATCTTTGCAGAAACTTAGTCCTGATTTCGCTCCTCGTGCGGGAGGGGGATGATCGGCCTTAGCAGGGCTTTGGATGATCTTGCCATATGGTCAAAAATGGAGCCATGAGCAGGGCAGTCGAACCATCGATCCATCGATCGGCTTCACAACTTCACGACGGCTTTCATATGTGGGCAGATGGATGGCTGCACCGCCAGACAAGAGTTTCACGTCAGTGGCAGAAAGTGGAAGTCCAAGAGGAGTGAGTTAAACTATCTTGCTCTCGCATGTCTAATGAACTTTCCTTCCTTCCCTCTAAGTGGTTGAAAAGCTCAAGGGGTGAAAAAGGCACAGAGGTATGGGCCCTGTGTACAAGTAGGTAGGAGCTGGAGATATGAAGTTAAAATGGGTGGTACCTGAAAATTGGTGCACGCATGCTCGCTCATCTTCGTCCACCGCAACCTTCTTCAGACCTTTCTGTATCACTGCTCCACTACACATGCCCATATCCTCAAATCCCCAGGGAGACAGTGCTAACTCCCGGAACCGCATCGTAGTAAGCTTGGGAGAGGTTTTTCGATGTCGAGGTTCTGTCTAAGACTTAGTGCTCTGACTGTTGAGTTAGTTTTGTCGATCTCCTTAGTCCATTGGGAAATGTGGGACACTTTCAGGTCAAATTCCAGGTCTATCTAGACCATAGTCTCGCGTCAAGGATTTCCAAAGTAACTTCGTTCGTTTCCTGTGCTTCTCCTCCACAGGAAGACATATTTCCTTGCACATCTGCATTTCTGCTTCAGCCGTTAACTTGCCTTCATGTTCTCAAATCTCTTGTCTAGCTGTGTAATCTTCAACTGACGAAGTCCAGGCGAAAAGCCTAACGACATCTCGACGAAACACTGCTGGCTCGTTGCACTTTTCTCCACGCAGCTTTTTTAACAAACAAGCCTTCAGACTACACAGAAACCCAAGTCGTCTCTCAAGTTGAGCTGACTCTATGCGGCGGGGCTGACTGCGAAGAGAGCATGTGGAAGTTCGACAACAGAAAACAGAAACCAGTAACAGTGACATAAAACAGTTACATCACGTTGATGGTGACCATTACATGGGCTAAGAAGTCTTGTTGGTGTTTTATGGCTCCTGAGTATGTAAGCCCTGCGAGACAGACTGTTAATGACAGGACGTTCGACATTGATGCCATGCAAGATGCCGGGAGCCTATTAAGGTTGGCAGAGGTTCTTTCGAATGGGTGGTGAAGTGAAAACGTGTAATACATGCACACACCGATTGACCTAAAACTCATAAAATAATCTCAACGGTGACAAAGAATGTATTTTCAACTGTGCTTTGTGAATCTTCGGCGAGCCAAAGTACTGTGAAATTGATAACTAACCTGAACAGTTTGAGAAACTTCTTCTCCTACGCTTTGTAAAAGGTCCGGGGAAAGTGGCAAGCATCGGCTCGGACTGTACACTTCGGCCAGAGGATACTCCTTGTTCAAATTGAGATCCGTAATCGAGATTCCAGCGATTCCACTGTACGTCATTCCCTGTCCACTGTCGCCTGGAATAAAGACCACGATTTCAGCTTCGTCTCACCAAAACCACTGCAATAAATGGAAGGGAAATGGGTGCTTGTAACAAATAGCTTTTTTGTCTCACATTCAAAGGGCTCTTGCCCCATGAGGTCAAGATAATCTTCAGGTTCATATACCTTCCCAGAGATGCATCAAAACAGACAAGATTCTGAACAGACTCTTCACCGACAGAGGATAACACTAAATTGATTCCAGACTCTGTGTTGAGGTGAAGCCAAATTGTTGTTGAGCCGAAGACTGACCTCATTCGACATGCACACTCAAATGCCTGAAAACCCAGGATCTTTTAAAAGTTGATTTTTCAGATGTTTCCTAAACTATCTGTTCCTCTGTTTAAAAGGCACATACTCACGAGTATTATACGCTCTTCCATCATGTCCGATTCTCTTTGTCCATTTAGACCACTTGTCTACATGTCACATGAGTTTGTTGTCTGACCGTTCTACGCTCTGTTTTTGTTCAAGACTGAATGATGCACTGTTTTTCTTTAGGCTTACATATTTGTAAAACCGTCACATCGTCTGAAGGAATTAAGAAAACTTTCCTTCTGAAGTGAGTTGACTCATTTTGTTCCTCATGTGAATCTTTAGCAACGATTTCAGAACGAAGGCCGCTATAAATTTGAGCTTTCAAGTATTACCTGACCAGTGTATCTGAAAAGCACCTCTGAATCCATAGTCCACCGCTTGCGAGCCCAATTTCCCAGCTTGGTATATGGGTCATAACTTCAGACTCTCTGCTCGTGTTCTCACCACTAACAATCAACATATCATAGTCAATCCTTCTCCCGGCTGCAAACTCACTAAGTTGTAGGCCGCAGCCATGCTCCGCCACTGTTCTTCACTTACAAGACGGAAGTTCACATAGCCACATGGGTCTATCACATCCTACCGAAGCAGTGAGTCAGAGTGTATATGTATATAAAATAAAATAAAAAATCAGCCCGATCTCTCTCATGAAGGTCATGAGTTCTTGACTGCAGGTCATGAATGACTTTACACGGCAGTTACTCGTGGAGACTACTGCAAGGACACAAAACATGATTCGAGTTAGAACTGATAATAAGAGGCTCAACCCACACTGTTCTAGGAACTTAGCTCAGCTCGCTGACGTGAATGAACCGTCAGGCTATGATTCAGGGGTGAATTGATGGCCATCACAAAATCTCCTGCCGTGTCGCTTTTCTCGTCTTCAGTTGGAACTATAGTTCCTTGTAAACTGAATTCTTTTGTTTGTTCATATAATCTTTCTCCATGTAAACCACTGTTTTTGCTAGCCCCTCCACGTACCTGTGACAGCCCCATATCAGTGAACCTCTGGGAACTAACTGAAGACAAAGAAAGAGCAAACCATGAAAATTGTGAAAAAAGAAGTGTGTTCCTGCATTTGAAGCTCTAAATACTTTTCTTTTGACTTTAGAGGGACAGGGCCCCAAAATACTTTTCAGGATAAAAGTCAGCACAATCTGGGATATTGAGAGCAGTCCCAATCTTTCCGCGTTTCGGGTCTTAGCCGGGATCAACCTACTGACATGGAGTCCAAATTTTCTTCGCAGCACCATGTTCCTGTGGCAATATAAAGTTACCAAACATTCTGTGCATTCATGAGTTGTAGGTTTGTACTAAGTTCTACAGCATCCCATTTTATAACTTGTTTCTCTCCGAATGTACTTGGAAGCACCAATTAACCATAGAACCATAACAATAAACCAACCACGATATTTCAGCCTTCACGATAACTACATATAAGATTTGATGATAATATATTTTTTAATATTGGTCTATGATTGGTCTTATATTTCCATATCCACATATATTAGAATATACTTTTGAACTCTGAGTTTTATGAGCCTCATTATCTATGTATTCGTTAACTAGTCTTGTGTTTCGATAAAAGCACCATATAATAAATAAATTGATGGTTCACAGTACAGAAAAGTAGCAAAATGTTGTCACTTGCTATAAACCTACCAAGGTGGGTGCACTTACGAACTACTGGCCATCATGTCAGTGTGTAACGTGTATAAGATTCCTGCCTCGATAAACAGGTTCATACTGGTCTAGACTGCGTTCTACACATGTTTGACAGTATCTTTAGATTCTTCCACGCTAACATACTGGATTCACTAAGTCCTCCCTCAAGTCCAGAGCACAGTAGTTCACGTTTGCAAGGTTCTCGTTTCAAGTACTTCGACCACAGAGGAGAATTGGGCAATCTCCACTATTGATAAGAATGTGAGGGAAAGACGTACCGTTTCCTTTGAGTCATCATGAGGAAACAAATACCCCTTCGAGTCTCTTGTAATCTAATTTCTCTTCTTTCATAATTCCCTCAATACCGTCAATTCAACGTCTTTGAATGTCGGCTAACCAAGCTGCTGTCTCAGCTCCATTCGTGTCCCCAACTTGATGGTCAAAGTCGTCAAACCACTGCATAAGATGAGCTATTATTCTCCCCGTCTGCAATCCAAATAATCAAGACACGCCCATGAAAGAAATCAAATATGGAGAACCAAAGCTACCAAAACTTCGAAAGACAAGATGATTAGCTGTTAAAAAACCCAGTTTAATACGACTGGCAATTTAATCACCTATTAAGAAGAGTTATATCTATGCTCTATGGACCACCCAGTTTACAAAGACATTCCATTCACGAAATATCACGTATACATAACTCGACACCTCATTAGTAAGGAGGTCAATGATGTAACTTCACTTCACAAGACAGTGCAAGAAAAACCTGGAAATTTTCAATTCATCGAGCTTGAATTAATATACGGGAGTTCTATACTTCCCTATCCGATGATATGCATATACAACCATCATGATGCAAACTATTTGCTTTTGGGGAAAGAGAATGAGAATCTCATTTCTTATCTTCAAAACCTGCTGATGGCAGTCATTTTTTAAAAACCTTTTTCCAATGAGCAGATTAAGACGATTGTACCAGAAGAACGATAAATACCTCTGACGCGAGACTCGAGCACCACCACGGACTCGCCATTGTCCGGCAAGTTTTAGGCTACACTTATACGAGGTATTCCAGTGCCAACAACCAGATCATCAGCTCTTAAATGATGGTCGAACTTCGGGTACTTCATCCTTAGCTTATCATGGTCCCAAACATTGTGTCTGAGTCCAGCAAGTTCGAGGTGAGGGCTTCTTCCATAGATATTCATATGTTGTGTCCCCTGCATTCACCAGAACTCTCGCACGTAAGCATTGGGAAGAACGTTTTGGGAAGAACGTCTGTGTCAGCCTTCCGACCACGCCAATCCAATCAGCCCATGTTAGAGGAATGGGAAGTGATGAGTGTCAGCAAGAGCTATCGACGCGCTTTACACCAACTTCTATATCTCTGCACTTCCACTCACAGCACGAGCAGCAGACATTCTCGATCTGAAGCAGACCGAGCAGCTGCCAACTGCAGCAGGAAGAGGTACAGAAGGGGTTGGGCGTGTCCAGAAGTGACTCGAGGAGAAAAATCTCGTCCCCTGAACAACAAAGCAGAAACCATGAAGAAAGCTCAGCTCTTGGACAACAACGCGACAGGGAAGATGATTAGACTGCAAGAGGCGCAACTGCAGTGAACGCACTTTACGAACTGTTTGGAGATGACGAGGTGGGGGTTCAAAACACAAAGCTGCAAGTTGACTGCAGTTCTCCAAAATTGTCCTTCCAGTTCTGAGCATCTCCAGTCCATAAGGAAAGGGCCCACACAATGGCATGAAGTGAGTGGACTGAAATGGACGGAGATAACACTAGAATTAACTCCCAACATGACATTGTTCAAGACCTCGTATTACAACTCTGCATCTCCGCAGCAATTGCCCAAAAAGAAGAACAGCAACAACAACGACAACAATACCAATACCAGCACCCAACAATCTTAAAAAAACTAGTTCAGTACTAGTCCTGCGCTGATCTGGTCTCTTCTGGTCCGATCTGATCCGATCTGGTCAACTTTTCTAACCTTCGTCTGCATGCATGGCAAGAGGGCGTGGGGATGGGGAAGTTTCAGTCCAGTCAGTCCAAAGCTCTGAACGCAAACACTCTGAGCTCTAGCACACAGGCGCAAAAGTGCATTTTGCAAGGGCCTTCTCCATGTCCTATCCAGACTCCCAGGCTCCCAACACACACACGTTCTGCACACGAAATCCGCCGATGGATGCCATGCGGATGCCACCACAGCACCTGAAGTCCAGATCCGATGACACGTCGAGCCCGACAAGTGGCTCGGTCTATATCAGAACAAGTAAGCCTGCTCAGTTTGGATTCAGTTGCCATTAATCCCTGAGGCTCTCTCTTCTCACTCCCTTTCTCTTTCCCTCTTCCTCCGTCCTGCTAGTGTTCGTTTGCCCAGTGCCCAGCATCGTCTCGTCAGACGAGGCGGTGCGTCCCATGAAAAACGTTGGCGACAGTATGCAGGCTCTACATTATTGGACGACATGTTCTAAACAAATTCACTGCTATGCCAAAGGTTGCAAAATTTCCGTTTCTGCCTCGATCTTTGCGTCCCTCGGGACACTCTCTTAATATGCAGCGAAAGAAGCTATCCCCTGCACGGAATTAGGCTCCTGATCAAACTTTTGATCGAGTCCCTACACGTGCTATTATCGCCATCGACACTCCTCGCCCGCTCAACGCACAGCAAGAAGGTTCCATCGACTATGGTATGGGATCCATTTGTGTCTAGAAACTCTTAACATGTCAAGGCTTAGTTCTGGTTATTGGAAAATGATGAAGAAGGAAACAATCAACACATAATCCTAAAGGCAGATATATTGGTGCATACGAAAAACGGATGAAGTTGCATACTTCCTTTCCTAGGTGTTTCATTATCTTTCTCTCGGAGCAATTGCTATCAGACTTTGAATTCTTGAACGACGTACCCCAAAGAATTTCTCAATATTCCCAGTGTGCCTAATCGCATCAGATTGTACGAGCATTCAGAAGCTTCAGATTAAGCCAGTACACTCTATCTTTGCGACGAGACATTTATCATACTGCCATACTATCATGACCAAATCACCAAGATCAACAACTTCCACTTACTGTCTACAAAAACTGCGTATTTACAATAGTTGACACCGGAACCAGGAGGATGGATATTCATGGAAGTGTTCCACTTTGAAGATTCCGGAATCTACTCGATTCTTCTGTGAACCAAGTCCGGGACTCTGAGACTCTGAGCCTCGAACGGACAGCACTTCCCGAAAAGTGTCCAGGACAACATCAGCAGCAGCCGCCGCAAGCACGTCAAACGACCGTGTGGTATTAGGCTTGCTCCGCCGCGTGGTCTACCCGTGGACCCACGCTCCTAAATACATGACACATACGGATTGGACCAAAGTTCGCATCCTCGTTCGACAAGCCATCTCGCACATCGCTGGAGATTAAAATATTGTTCGTCGAAAGAGTTTATTAATTGGATCGGTATCCAGCAAACGGGATTTCAAGCGTTCCGTACGTACCGCAACAGTTCACATACTCCTGCCTTAATCTGACGCTTGCTTTTGAAAGCCACTGATGGACCGAAAGAGGATCCTTGAGCTTGACTTCATTTCCTGAATAATTTAAGCGATCCACAACTTGGCTGCATGTGATACATATACGTCACCGGCAGTCCAGATTCACTAAAAACAGCACTTTTTATCAAAGGCATAAACGTGAAGCATGAGGAGCAACTCACTCTTCGGACACTTTTCCTCAGATTTGTCAGTGTTTTGACGAATGTCCTCTCTCGAGTGTACAGTACTTTCTGCAGTACTTTTTCATCACTTGTGAAGAAGTTGAAACGGGCTGAAAGAGGAGAGCAAATTCCTTCTTAGCTGAATTAAATTCGTTACTAGTAATAATGAGAGTGGGAGGAGTATTAATTAGAGCTCATGTATCTCTCCGGCGAATTTGTGCGACAGGATATGCTAACCGATCTGTACAATGCATCCATCAGATGTCGAGCTCCAAGGGTGACACTTGGTTACTCTGAGTTTCTGTAGCCCTAAACCCTAAAGTAAACCCTTCCTTTTCCCGTGCTGACGTACATAGGTTCTAATACCGAAATGGGAAGCACATTCCTTCGCGAATTCAAGGTTGTTGTGTGCACGGCAAAGTTGTTGTTAGCATAGTACCGTCGATTTGTTTTGTGAGAAGGGACGTCCGCATCTGCATGCATCTGGCAAGCGTGTACGGAAAGTCCATCGGTGCCAATACGCAGCACGTGTGGTATCTTCTGCATCTGGAATGTGAACAGATTCGCCAGGCAGGGCATGTAAGCACTTGAAGCATTTAGTGTGTGATTTAGATCGGCCTGTGGCATAATGGGAGCCAAGGTTCAGTGATGAAATATATGGTGCTCTTTGTGGCATTTAATTTCTCCGGTGTTCTCGGTGACTCTTGAGTACAGCAGCTCAGCTGGAACACCAAAAATGAGAAAGTTCAAGATAAGCAATCGCACATTCGTTGTTCATTCCAATGATGTTTGGTTTTTGGGCAATCACTTCGAGTACAATGAAGAAGATTGTCGAGCAGAAGAATTTTTTGCAATTTACCTTTCATCTACAACGAATGCTTTTGATGAACGCCGTTCGGTTTGTTATCGTAGGCAACCAACAGCTAGCACTCTCACACGGTGCCTTAAGATTTCATAGCCGCATTCTCTAACCCACTGCTCTCTGAATACTATGTGAATCCTCTAATACCCGCAAATCATTAGTTCTCTATTAGACTGTACAGAGAGAAGACGGAAAATCTCTCTAATCTTTCATCCCGATGCGCGTATGTGGACCAACATGAGTTTGAGCACTACTCTGAGACCAAATTGTTTGAGCAGTAATCTCAGAAACCATTGTTCGTGTTATGCAAATTGAAGCCAGGGATGAAGTAACAATAGGCTGTGACATCAGATGCATGTAGTACAGTATAAGTATATCAAGTCGGATTCATCAGCCCCAAAATGATGGGTTTGAGTAGATACAATGTAGGAGTACTTCACCCTCATTCTGGGTTTCAGTGACAATTCTGCGACTCCCTATGAAATTGTCAAAACTAGCAGCTTCTTTGACTCTATATAACAGTGATGAGTATATCCGACATAAGATGACTCGAAAGGATCTAAGAAACGAAGCTGCTGTAAGTGGAAAGCAGATGTAAGAGTATATTGACCTAATTTACCGCATTCCATATTTAGTGACGGAGGGGTCTGTTAAGTTTGTAACCAGCTACTGGGGGTCCTTCTATAGAACAGAGATTGGACCACCGAGCAGGTTGCATTGACTAGCAATGACCCTGTGAGTCTATTATCGTAAAATCTTGAAGCCAGAATAAGCTCCATCTGTTTCACGACACCGTATCTGATTTAAGATGGGATTGAGAGAGGAGTGAACAGTCTGATTTTGATCCCACAGAACGTCCACATAGATTGAGAGGATAGTTACAAGAAGTGGCAAGATCTTGAAACTTTACAAAATGAGAAAGGTCCTAGTTAATATACTGTGAGCACGTGGGAGCTCCACAAAGACACAGCAACTTCTGGTCCTCCGGGGCAAAGCGGTAGTTGTACCTGAACACAAGAACGAACTCATCAGGGAACTCTGCACTGGGAAAGCGTTTGCAGACTTACATCACATTCTTTCACCATATCAATCAGGACGGATCGATATTCGTCATGATGTGACAGAGACATATCACTGAGTCTAGTAGGTATGTAATTAGAGGTTCATGAATGTGACATGAACGTGAACAAACTTACGTAAGCTCTTCACCCGCTGCGACATCTTTCCGAGCAATAAGCATTATGTGGTGTGTCTCGCTTCCTTTCTCCCCATCTCGACTTGCTTCCCAAATTTTCGCGAAACAGTTTGGTGCACACTGCATTACACACGACCAACAATTATCATGACTATGATAACAAGGTTACTGGAAACTGCAAAACCCGCTCGTTTTTCAAGCGCTCTATCAGATCACACCGGTTGATGCTGTTACTCAACTATCATCATGCATTGACTATTTCTTGAAGGCCTTAATGTAGACATAGAAAACGACAGCCTGAAACCCTGAATGAAAGAATGGGCATGGAGAAGTTATTACCGAATGATTGATGAGGCGTCCTATATTTCCTTTCTCAGTGGCATCAATGACCAGATCATCGTCGTCACTCACTTTGAAGAGCTGACATGATAACAAAACAGTTGTGCATAAGTGATGAACCAGTTGTCAAGTTTAAATGGTAGAGATCTGTATTACATGGAAAGATTGCTGATGAACACGTATGACCAAGACCTCTGAAAAGTAGAGAGGCAGTAACACCGAGAGATGACAATGAGGAAGATAGAGGTTCAATACGGAAAGATTTGGTTTTCTGATCTCAAATAATCTAAGTGATCACTCGATCATATACAATTTCCTTAAAACATGCTAAATTTGGCATATAACAGTCTCTTTCAAACAATTACTTCCTATTTGATTTCCACGCTGAATAAAGTTGTGAAGGTCTTGTAATAGCCATGAGACATGTAGTGAGGTCTTTGAGTAGTCGTGAGAGCCTAGTCAAACACACAGCCGAGCCTAGTAACAGTAACTTCAAATTCTTAGTCCAATTTTCTGTGTCGCTACCTCTCTAAATTACCTTAACTCTTGACTTCCCATCAATAATTGAATACTGTTACAAGCAATAATACCATGTGAATAAAATATCTGCGAATCAATGAACCTCCTAGGCTGGGAAGGAAAACTCACATAGCAATCCTTGCCTTCCTTGGTGTAACGTTTTTCTCGTTGATCTGCAATAATGCGACGCACTCTTTCACCACGATACTCTAACACCTGAAACAGCCCAATGACCCCAAACACATCAGATCATTTAGATCACGACATTCGTAAGAAGTTAAATAATCCAATAGTGCTTCTCATATATGGAGGACTATAATACCCACCGTTTCTCCTTCTCTAATCGCTCGACGAGCAAAGAGTCCCCAACCATGTATTCCGGATTTTCCAAAACACACACGCTGCCTCTCCGTTGCCTGCGCGCAAGACATGTGTTAGATAAGAGTCAACTATGCATTCCACTTAAGAGCAGCAGCTCTTTCAACTCGAATGTGTGCCAAATTTCATCATGCTTAAACGAAACTTGTTGTTCACTTCTTTGTTTACAAAGTATGAACCAGTCCGTTGAAACAATGTTACTGTATCGATTTGCATTTAAGATTGAGATCTATGACCTAGCGATAGATAAAGAAAATATTGAATCAATTGATTCGCGACGAAAAGCAGTGTAGCATCTTCTTTGCAACAACATACAATTTGATGTTCACCCTGATGGTAATGAGAAACACAGCGTTCGGTTGTTTGTAATATACAACACACTCTTGAACCTTAGTTGTCGTTCAAGAGGTTCTTGAGCCTATATAAATTTGATTTTACCACATGCAAACCTCGCCACCATGGGAAATTACTTGTGTCCTGACAAACATATGTTATAAATGCTTCACTCCTCACCAGACCAAAACACATTCTAGAGAGCATTTAATCAATCTTAAAGGTTCAGTTACGAGTGATGTAGTAGATTCAAACATCAGGAACGTGAAGGACATAAAATCATCAGTGACCAACCAAGACATGCAGAAGGGAGAAGGGAGAAGAAGAGAGAAGAGAACAAGAGAACAAACCATGCAGAAAAGAACAAACTACTCAATCTGCACATTATTTAGTAATGATGTCACAAGCAAAAACCAAATATGCAACTGAAAAAGAGATGGAAGGAAGCGTAACCTAACAACAATGTGGCCATGTGAAATTCATTTGCTTTGTAAACTCTATGTGGTATAGACACGCGTTTGTATTAGTTGAGAATAATCAACAAGTTAACCGTCTCCCACTTGGAGAATTCGAGAACTAAGAAAACTGTGCACATGGTAGAGTAATCCAAGAACCCGCCAGAATACGATAAAGTATGCTCATTGCTATCCCAATTCCTGAACGTATTCCTGATTTCTAAAAGCAGATAACAACAGCACGTAAATAGCTCTTCCTATTGTATAGAATCTTGCACCTGAGTTTGAGGGTTACTATCTTAGTAGTTCTAGAGATATGAGAATGAAAGTTTGGCATTTATTTATTTCAAGGGTTAAAACCGACGCTTCAAACCAGTTATGATTGATAAAAGAGAATATTAAGATGAGAAAATCTTGAATGCAGAGAATATATGAGCAGGGTCGTAGGAAAAAGCTAGATACGAGATTTCATTTAGGGATCTAATAAATGGAATCATCGATAGAACTCCGAGCATGGAGAAGAAGCACGGAGGATGTTGACCCTGATTATCAAACAATTCACATATAAACTAATTTAAAAGTAGAGAGATAAAACTTTGCAAAGTATGTTGCACAGTTAATATCCACAGTGGTGCTTATGTCCTCACCTATAAGTCTAGGTATAGTTTGTCTACAAAGTACTCCAACCCCGGTATAGCATCAGAAGTAGGGCAATGATCGTTGGTGTTCGTTCACGTCGCGATGAAGAGGATTAGTTTGGTATATCGGAAAATTTTGGCCGCAGATCAAAGCTTCTCTGAATAAGACTTGACATGCAATAATCGTCGGATGAGATCCATACCTACTCTTCGAGAGGTAAAGAACCTTAGATGAAATAAAGTAATCTCTGATGACTTCGGACAAACTGTAGGATTATTATAAGTCTTATAAAGCTTAATAATGAGGAGACAGAAGCTGGACCATTGTAATCCATAAGGTTATTCGATCTTAGTTTACTGGTTTTTTACCTCCAAAATCACCGTCAAGTTTCCAATCATGTAGAGATCTGTGCTAAATTGTTCATCCACGTTCTGGACTCCATTCTAAATTGACTACTCATATATTAAGAAAACTGTGTAAAGCTGTGCTAAGAAAATCTTCATCAACCACATTTCCGATCTCCAATGGAAAATGATTCATCAAATAAAGAGAGAGTTAGACAACCCTCAAACCGCAACAAAACCACGGAGTTTTACAACGTAAGACAAAATTACTAAAAATTTGTACGTGTGGATTTTGGACGCAACCAGTTAAAGGAAGTCTAAATAAACTTCCGAATATTACAAGTAGCTTAGCAGCAAAAACGAGAGACAAAGATGGAGGGATGAAAACTTCACTACATATGGTGAATTTTTTTCCTCCAAATTTATTATTATGAGTGAAATATGTGGTTGAATTGGTGTTTCTTTCATGATACTCGTCCTACATTTACTCTCTAATGCAAATACCTTGAATTATTCAATACCCACATGGTTCAAAATTTAATGTGGAGTTAATCATCTGTATTCAACCATGTGTATCTAAAGTTGAATATTCATCACTAAAGTGCTTAAAAACTTTAGTGCTAAACATTTGAATATACAAAACAAAAATGACTTTTTTAACACCCAGATGACCCAATTCCCGCTTTGAGTTTCATGAAAAGTATGTTTCACACAACTGTTTTATACAGGTGGATGTGAAATTGTTGAAAGGGGTTTTAAGATAAACTGATATGCGCTTCTGCAAAGAATGAATTTGGGAAGTGTTAATTGTAGGATATAGAGACTCAGAACTGGTATATTAAAAGAAACTGAATCCTTCAAGCTTAAGTTCAAATTAACAGAATGATCAATCCGTGGATGTAGCAAAAATCCTCACACTATTGAACTCCATTAAAAGCGAAGACATCACTCTTCACTAAGTTACTATACATACCTGAAGGAAAGCAACACGATCCTCTACCCGTGGTACCTCGACAGTATCTAGTTCAGCAAACTCCTGCAACACAGTGAAAGTAAAACATTAAGTCCATTTCCAACAGTAAGAATAACGAGTGATGTTTATACTGAACATTTGAATTCTGTCAAATGGTTGGTACAGCAATCTCCCGCTCGAGTACGCAACTTGAACTTGGAAGGATACTGCGCACTTAGCCGGTAGGTGCGTAATTTAGAACAATCACTTCCTAAATTCTAAACTTCACTGGTTCTGCTGCAATGTAGAAGAGACCTAACGGGAAACCCCTCAATGATTCCCAACGATGCGATATCATAGAGAACTTGAGGAGGACGGATGCTCTCAGTAAAAGGGCTCTAGCGAGCGAGTATGATGTTAATGAAGGAGCTATCAAAAAGGTATGGACTGAACGGAAGCAAATCTAAACTAAACATTAAATTAGGCCGGAGATTACGAGGCGGTGCTGCTGGAGTTGCATACAGAAATCCAACTCATCTGCTCGATGCTCCGAGTATATCAATGAAGCTTTGGCAATCCATGTCACCAAGCTCTATCAAAAATGTATTTGTGAAGGCAAAAATAATGACATTAGAAGTCGGGAAGCACTGAACGAGATGGAGTGTTCAATGACTGAAGTTGCACAAGCTATTGCAACTTTAAATCTTTCTGTTTGACAAGAAGAGCTTAAAGAATTTGTTCGTGTCTACGATAAAAACAGTGAAGTATTTGCAGCCGCAATTTTGGAAGACGTTGAAGAGTTTTTGAAGACGATGAAGATGGTTGAAGAGAATCTGGACAAAGATAATGACATTTTTATCTCTCAAAGAGTCAGATTCGGTTCTAGAAAACACCGCCGTACTTAAAGTATGAAGTCACTTTATAAGCAGGTTGTTAATATAGAGCATCAGTTGCTCTGCTGCGAAGTTTGAAAAGAGGCTGAAGAAAAATTTGATGATCTTAGGAAGTTGTTTGCATCGTTTCAAACGCAAGAATATATCTTCAAAACTTACGCGAAATGACAATCCATGACATGTTGAACTAAATAGATGTGATCCCTAATTCTTTGGGAAAATAATGCGTACTTAACCGGAGTCCACTTTACTATTTGTAACTATTCATGTTGATACAGAGTTAAACCTCCCAATAGTGTCACCTCTTATGAGTGACATCCTCTCATTAGTGACGTAAAATTCTAGAACCATTAGTTTCTAACTTGTAAATCTGCTCAATAAGAACGGTACGTCACTATTGCCAATAGTGACAGGATACTAATCAATAGTGACAGTTTCAAGTGTAGTTTCGGAGTTAGAATTGTTATCATTATCACAGTGAGAAAGAAGAATGTGGCATACCTTTACTTAAAGATCTATCTCAACAATTCACTCTTTCAGGGCTTCAGTAAAATACTTCGCTACATATATTATCATCAATTGTTTCACTTAGATTTTTATGTTTTAATCCAAATTCAAACGCAATTATAGCCTAAGTTAAATGTCGTGAACAATAAAGAATTGCATATGAATGCGATCTTGAAACCTAACAACACATTTTTAGAATGTCCTAGCACGGAGTCTATGCACTTTCTTTTTATAAATGACACCTCCCAATAGTGACATCCAACCCTAACACCAATGTATGTTACTCTTGCGAGGTTATACTCAAGGTTATGCACCTGCCAGTAATGACATCCAACCCTAACACCCGTGTATATTACTATTGGGAGGTTATATTCAAGGTTAAACACTTTACTCTTATGAGTGACACCTCCCAATAGTGTCGTAAAACCCTAGCACCAATGTACGTCACTATTGGGAGGTGTCACTCACGTAAGCACCTCCGTATTGGGTGCTTAAGCCACATGAAAATCCATGACATGTTGAACCAAATAGATATGATCCCTAATTCTTTGGGAAAATAATGCGTACTTAACCGGGAGGCCACTTTACTATTTATAACTATTCATGTTGATAGACCCAAACCCTCCGTATTGGGTGCTTACGCCACATGACAATCCTTGACATGTTGAACTAAATAGATGTGATCCCTAAGTTTTTGAGAAAATAATACGTACTTAACCGGGAGGCCACTATACTATTTATAACTATTCATGTCGATAGATCCAAACCCTCCGTATTGGGTGCTTACGCCACATGACAATCCATGACATGTTGAACTAAATAGATGTGATCCCTAAGTTTTTGAAAAAATAATGCGTACTTAACCGGGAGGCCACTTTACTATTTAGAACTATTCGTGTTGAAAGATACAAACCCTCCGTATTGGGTGGAGTGTTAGAGAAATATTAGTACATCATCTTCACTACTTCGATAGACAACTGCAACAACGTACATGTCCCAAACAAATAGCCCATATCAAACAACCCGTAGGTGCTATCTTGAAACTAAAAATCTGTTGACCGGGTCTGATTTCGGCGAATAAAGTATACAATTTTCATCGGGCCACGGTCCCGTACGATAAAAAGCACAAGTCCACTTCTGTGATAAAGGCACTGCAAAAACTTCACATTATTTTTTACGCCGTCCAGTTTATGCAAGTCACCCGACTAGCATCATTGTGTGATTGTTTATGTACATCTTCTTCTACTCTATACAAGATCTGGGTAAAAGGATAATTCCCAATTGATGTCCTATACAGCATCATTGTGTGATTGTTTATGTACATCTTCTTCTACTCTATACAAGATCTGGGTAAAAGGATAATTCCCAATTGATGTCCTATACAGAATAGATGTTATATTTTTTAATACAGCTATCCTCTTTGTAACCACTTTCATCTGACCGAGGAAAAAAAAAGCATTTTTGCAAGATGAACCAAACTTTTAAATGTGTAAAAAAATAGATCCTGAACTGTTTAAAAATTGTGTAATGAACTCACTCTCAGCTCATGAATACTTTCGGTGGAGTTCCAACTGACGCCCATAATCCTGAATGGAACAGGTTCTCTGTTTCTTCTCTGTAAGTAAAACAATCAATCCAAGACGGTGCTTGTACTTAGGCTCTGCAGTCAAGTAACATACACTAGTAAAATTGCATAAGAGAAACAAATTAAAGAAGAATATTCTTCTCAAACCTACCGTATATTTTAGAGCTCTGTCTTGTGGATTGTACGGCTGGCACCTCGAGGCGGATGAAACTTCAACCGTCTCCACGTTCTCCGGAGTAGTGGCATCTGGACTACTTGTGGCATTTCCTGCTGCTAACAAAATGACTACGCTCTCTGTGCCTCTCGCGTTCACTTGGTCACTTTTGCCTGTTATCTTTCCCTCCGGTGATCTTAGAAGAAGGAAAGCTTCTGGGTTCGGCGTCCTGTAATTTGATGTAGTTAGTTTCATTTGCCACAAGCAGATTGGAATGGTGTGAAACAAAAGACATAAAATATTAACAAAAACAAGAATCGTGTACTTCACGACCAGAAATGGAAATGTTATTGAAAGCACTCACCTGTGAGCGGCGCAGTATGATACCATGCGTGTCATGGGATCCCCACTCTTATTGTTTAAACTTTGTATCTACACAGAAGAGGATGTAACAAAAAATAGTTTTAAAATATAAATAAAACTCGGAACGAAAATCCTTGTGTATCACAGCTACAATAATGTCAACTTCCTTTTGGTTCCAAACACAATTCACAAACACACAATTCCAAACACAATTCACAATTCACAAAATAAAATTTTTAACAAAGACACGTTGTATACAAAATGTTCCAAGACGAGTTAACTTTGGCTCAATATCAACCTCCATGTGATAACCCGCTTTGGCCGCGCAAGTCGTATGATATGGTGTCCGGCACTTTGCACAGTGTGTGCAAGCTCCATGCACCTGTTTACATAATGTGCACATCTTTGCACACCAAGCCCACCATCGCAAATTATCAGACTGAATTTAATTCATCTACGTAAACTTTCCTAAAAGTATGCAAAAATGGCTGGTCAATTTTGAGAATTTCCGCAATGTTTAAATTATAATATCCAGACTCGACATCCCGATGCATTGAAGTCAAGAGTACAGATCTGTCAACTACTTACTGCCTTCATACACAGTACATCAGAGATAACAGTCATTGACTTCGTAATTCAGAATCTAGCTTTTAGTATGTGACCAGAGATCTTTTCTCAAATTACGCGTACATTCATCATGTTCCTCGCGCAAATTCAAATCCACTCCCGATGTAGATTACACCAACCTCTCGAAATCGTGCAAGAGGAATGCTCGTCACGCCGTCTGCTGGCTCCATACGAGTGGCGTCCTTGAAGGTCATCTCCCTCATGAACCAGGCGCAAATAACATGTACCCAAAGACCATTAGTTGTAGTTGGCTTCAAAGCGCCACCTGTCACCAAGGTTGAGAAATTTATCAATCTTCCGCACAGAGTATTATAGCGATCAGCATGATGGAGATTTCATACCCACCAACAGATGTCATGTATATTCCACCAGAATTCTAAGAACTCACCGCCCGGTTTCAATCACCAAGCTGATTCTACATTCCTCTCTTTTACCTTTGACTGGGCACAAACAACACTGCCGCTCAATATCGTGTCTTTCACAAGCTCTACACACCCACGATCCAGGGGTGATCTCAGAGGCCCGAACTCCGTAGCACTCTTCGTGTACACATACTTGGCACCTGGAACAATTACAGATCAGAGAGCTCAGCTATCAATCCTGAGCAATTCGTCGTTCTTCTCTAGTAAGATATTACACATGCATTAGCTTGGATGTAAATTTGGTTTAGTTACTGAAATTTAATGGATAGAATATGAAACGCATCTTCAAATCTTCATGGTATATTTCAATGACTGCAGTGTCTGGGCCCTCATGTAAATTCTTTATTCATCCCAACATGTCTATCGTCAGATTTTGAACACCAATCATCGCAAAAGAATTTGAATATCAGAGGGAGACGGGAAATGAAGAAGATCATACCTATTACATACGATCATCTTGTTGTAGTCGTAGTCTTCAACCCATCTACAAACACCGCATCTTTCTGCCGTCCAAGTTTGTATAACAGGCTCATACGGTACTGAAAGCAAAGTTGACGATTTGTGAGAAGTTCGTAAGATAACCTTACCGGCAATATGGACTAAAATAATAATAAACCAGTTCCTGCATGGCAATACAATTTTACCTGCCAGACAAGAAGCAAGCTCTTCATGGCGAACTTTTGGAGGTACCCAGTTTTCAGGTCCATTATACGCAAGGCCAACAGCACCCGCAGTTCTCAGTGACTGAAGCTGAAATCACAACCCCAGACATCAAAGAAACAACCTTGTACACTGTCAATCCGCGAACTGGAAATAATTTGTAAAAAAAAAAATTCAGGCTGAATGTGAATGTCCAGTTGCTGAAACCAGTGTTTTCGTTAAAAAGGGTGCAAATTTAGTCATAATATCAATATCAAGTAAGCCACAAATGCTCGCTACTATGAATCTAACCATCAACCTACGATGGTTGAATTGAAAATTAGATAAATTAACAGGTAGAAAACTCCAAGAAATTGAACCCAATTGCATTCACATACATCAAGGAGTGTACACTATATAATGAGGAACTGACCCAATGCAGGAGGGGTTTTTCCAGACTCTTCACTTTGATGCTTTCCTTCCACTTTTTCTTGCGGCAACCCGTATGCTTCTCCCACTCTGACGGACGCATTGACCGCCCACATCCACGGCAATCTTTACACTTGCATTTTATCCTGCCACGTTGATCCAATGTGAACCTATAATGTGTTGTCTCGAATAAAACTTCTGAAGCTAACATTTGAGAGCTCACTTGAAATCAGACATTCCTTTTTGGTAATATTGTGGTGTACAAGAGAAAACGTCGGGCACTGATACTCGAATAATTGTTGACATGTGACTGATGTTTGTACTCTGAATCAAGAAAAGGTCTTTAGTGAGTGGCTGAGCTTGAAGACGGAGGAAAACTTACTCATGAAGACTGGGAAGATAATTTCCAAGTACGCCGAAGCAGATTACTTCGAGCGTTTCCGGAACGAAGGACTGAGTCGATGGACCGGCCACTCTGCAGCAAGAAAGAACACAATTGAAGACAAATGTAATCAAACGCCGAAAGGGAGTAGACGTAGAGATTTCCAAAGGGTAAACGTCGTTTACTCGACGGTAGCCATGTATGCGAGTACTAAAAGCCTTAATCAAACAACCTCTTGAAAACTTGGAAAATTACAACTCCACGACGATTTGGGAACGTGTAGACTGGTAAGGGACATCTATTGCGATATTGTTCTGAACTGAAGCGCTTGCGCATATGATTACATCCAGCTTATACTGAACGTCTCCACATGCATTTGTCAAAATGCGAAAAGGCACTCTTTATATATCCATTTCAATTCTGGTCATATTGGTCTCACAAGATAACATTTTCTTAACCACTTAGGCAGTTTCAGTCAATTTCGACTACAATCAACTGAATCACTTAGCTCTAATTTTTGCGGACTTACCTTCGCTTGCGCGGAGTGTCTTGCTGCTTCCTACATTCGGGGCAATTGTACGCTCTTCCACTGTCTTCTAACTCCTGTCATCAAAGTCACATCAAATCAGTTTGATAAGCCGCTGATCCAGTATGTCTCATTCAACAACACATCTGATAGTCAGCAACTCGACGCTTCTGGGGTTTAGCTGGCGACGAACTATTTAACAAAATACCAACAGCATGCAGATCTAAGAGATCACAAACTACCTTGAAAACAGCAATACTCTTCTCGAATCCGTAGATGTTTAAAAAAGTGTAGGTAATGCTATTCCCATGCTCAAAATAAGGCTTGCCAGTACAGGATACTGCGGAGATTTGACAGTAGATAAAGCACAACAATCTGGAATCCCAACTACGCGCTGACTACTTTCGCGCGTAAGAGACACGTAGGTGCATATAAACCAATTCAAGTATGCTGTGAAGGCGTACCTTCAAGTTTTTGCTGCTGATTTTATCACAATCTGCATGTATCCAGATATTGCAGATATCGCACGCCACCTGCACAGCAGAGTACCATCGTAACACGAACGTTAAGCTTCGCAACAATGAATCCTTTGAACAAACTAGAAATTCCTGAAATTGGTCCCGTTCAACACAAGATTCGAAGTCCGGCGTTGAGGCCAGAGGATTATCTGTTGATTATAATATTAATTATAAAGCGGCATGTAAGCATTCCAGTTGGATGAACGTACCCAGTTGCCCTTCTCGTTGGGAAGCCAAACTTTCTTACAAACGCCACAGTACTGTCGTGATTTGTAAAGCTGATAAATGACCACCAAAAGACAGCATCCATCAGGACATAGGAGTACATAGTAAAATGATATAGGTATAGCACCCTGTACTGAGGATATACCAATGATAGGTAGATGACCCCACAGACCTACTATCTCGGCTGAAATCACAGAGTCCACGTACCTTGACACAGTGCCTGCATAAAGAATTGTCTTCAACTACACTGTTCTTCGGCTTCTTCGCGGGCAACTTGCCTCCACATCCCGTGCAAACCTTTTTGGCTTTGTCATCAGCTACAGTAACCTGTGAATAGGCCACGGCTCAGAAAACACAAAGGTAGGCCACTGTCACAAAGACCTTCGAAGCAAGAGATCTTGATGTGGGGCATGTTCATCAGTCCGATCATGTTCAATTAAAAAGATTGCAACTCTAACGTTGCCTTGTACTCCTGTGCGCTAATGAGGCTCTATAAGGGTCACAAAACGCTGACGCTTTTGTAGCACGGTCTCGAGTACATGCAAGCATTGCTTAAAAACTGCCTATAGGAATCCGCAGGTAGACACCAACCTCTTTCTTCTTTCCAACTGGAACGTCATCAGTCTCAATGGAGGTGTACTCCTCGGCTTCCCCAGGAACATCAACCTCGACCTTTCGAGGCTTTGCTGAATAGGTTGAAGGGTGCTTCTTCCCATGTGTGGCATGGCAGTCCTCAAAACCAGCATCCGCAAGTGTTGCTTCCTCGCAAGCAAGAAAAAAGTCGCTGGGCCGACTCTTGTTGAAGTTCGTTTGGGTTCTGAATCTGAGCACACCAACATATGATTGAGTATCTGCCACTGCATACAGTGCGCTGTCCTGGCAACTAAAGTGCCCTAGAACTTGCATTCAGAACACCCTTGAAATATTGAACCCTTAGTATGTAGATAGATCTATTGAGGTTACAATTGGCTTTCCCAATCTTAAGCGACCCTGCATGCTCTTTGCCATTGTAAGAAAAAAAATGCTCATAAAGCACCACGATCACAATTCCATCTCATTGCTGTGCACGTAATATTCCATACTTATGTTCGACTCGATTCGGATGTTTCTGGTAGTATCTTTCACATGCCTCATGTTTCCTAAAAGGCGTAAATCTCCTGTCTGGTAATCATAACTCACGAGATTCTATAATTAAAAACAAGGGACGAATAACTCAAAACTTTGGACAACGCACTTATCCGCATACTCGACGTAGGGGAAAATCATTCCTTGTTTGACCCATGCATAGTCCTGCGAAAGATAATATAGAATGTTTGTAAGTTAGGAAGACTGAAATGTATCACACATGTACGGGATTTCAACACGTCAAATCTTTCACAATAAAGCACACTTATAACTAAGTCAAAGTTTCCGGCAAAGCTTAATATACTCATTGACAAAGATGTAGAAGATCCATACCCGCTCCTTTTTCTTGGCCAAAGAGGGGCCGAAGAACATTACACAAAGTCGACCTGGCACAGTGACTGCTCGCACTGATTCTGGAGCTTCCTTGATAGGATCTACAACCTTGGCCGGCCACACAGGATCGTTGCGCTTTCCAGACTTAGCCCAGACAATGTCCCCAAGGTCAAATTCCTCAAGTGGATGTAATCCTCCCACTGATAGATTTGAATTTGAATTTCCTCTGCCCTCAGAATCATGGGGCGACTCCATTTCAAAACCTCCTTGCCTCTTCTGGCAGAGTACTGGTGATTTTCCTTTAATTACAGCAGATTCTGCGTGAACTTCAGATTTCGTTTTATAATCTGAGCGAACTTTAGCCTTCTCAGATACATCAGACTTGCATTTCGCACTTGCCGCTTTGGAGTCACCAGAAACGTTGGCTACATTTGCATCGTAACCAGAAAGCTTCGCCTTCTTCTTCAACGAGACCGCTCCAGGTGACGTTTCTACTTTCATCGAGACCTCCTGATCGTTGGGAGCTTTCTTCACAATCTTGGCCCCTTTCTTGACTGGTTCAACGACCGAATCTCGGAGCCATGAGGGTAAGGCTTGAGCCCTTCCTCGTTTGGAACGAATAAGTGGGCCAGCTTCCTTCGATTCTTCTGGGGCAGGACTCTCGGATGCAGAGCCTGCTATGTTGGATGAAAAAGCCTCATCACGGTCATCTCGTGCTATGTTCCTCCTATCCAGGCGAACAGGAGCTTTAGGAGGACCTACTGATTCACCACTGGAAAGCCTTCCTTCTACTGAAATCCGTTTGGTTCTCGCCCGCCTCACGACTTTCAAATCTGAAATCCAGGGGAATGAGCCAACTAATTTCTGTGAGGTCGACGAAATCTTCGATTTGTCTCCCTGGCCTTTAGTACCAATGGCAGTGCTATGATCAGTAAAGGAATCCCCTGTTGCTGCTTGAACGGCATCCACGAGCAGATCAAGGGAAGGGTAGACCATCTTCTGCTTACTAGCTGCAATGTCTTGAGCCAGGGCCGAATCATTTTCCTTCGAAGACGGCATAAACCCGTTCAGTCCCCTCTCCTTGCACCCATTCCCATTCCTACTTTCAGGCTGCTCCAAAACTGATTCCTTCTCTCCTTTCGACATCAACTTCGCTGCTTTTACGGCTTTCTTATCTGCAGGCCCTACAATACTCCGACTGGCAGGTTGAGTTGGGTATGACTTAGGTGCAGATACAGTAACCTTGGTTGCTGCACTCGTAGAGGATGCAGTCAACAAAGCTAATGGCAGAGGCGCATCAAGTTTGCATCCACTTGCCACATTTGCTATCGGTTTCATTCCTGAGGCTTCCTTAGCTAGCGTGTCGACTTTTTCCGGAGTGATTGGTGCCGACTTCTTCACAGATCCATCGATTTCTAATTTTCGAAACGCAGTTGGTTTCGTATCCACATCATCCCTGGATATGGATTGTTGACGCATTGTGAAGTCCTGACCGTCCGCTTTCAAAAGTCCGGTACTACCCTGTCCATCCTCCACCACTTGGGGACCTGGTATGAAATTGTCCGAGGTCAAAGTTGATGCCTTGTCTACAGAAGTATCCACTTTCTTCGAGCCCTCCGGTGCAGGTCCGGAAGTATTAACAGCAGCTTTTGAGTCAAAATCCTGAGCACAGCCAGTAGTAGTAACTGGAACAGATTTTGCCAATGAGCAAGTTTGGCAAACAGCTGTCCTTCCGTCGCAAGAGCATCCGCTTTTCGATGCTACGGTCGTCTTGTCCGAACCAGCTTGATCACTTAACTTGCCTTCAACTTGGATGTGTTCTTTTGAAACGGTAACGGGGACATCGAGTGGTGTTTCTAGTGGTGCTTGTTTGTCACATTTCTGCCCATCAGTACAGACTACACGTACAGATGTAGATGCTATCATATCCCTCAAGTCCCCCGAATTTTCTCTTCGATCTGGTTCCATCACCTCCAAGGTGCACCGTGAACCTGACGGAGGTGGAAGAGGATTCTCAGCAGAGTTCTTCATGTGACAAGCTTGAACATTGCCAGTGGAAGTACTGAAGATGGAATAAGCACCACCCGAAATACAAGTCAAGCAAGGTGATTTTCCTCTGCAGGCCGTACAACCACTAGCTGATATCGATGTTCTAAGAATCAGGTCCTTTCCTCTGCGGCCATCTTGGTCTCTGCTGTCATTATCTGCATGGAGTTGCCCTCTCATAAAAATCTGAGAACTAAGAGGATCGTGTACAGGGGCTTTGACCCTTTGCCCGTCAGGAGCAACCCCATGGTTGCTTTGCGCTGCGATCAAGCCCCCTAAGTTCAAGGCTTTGTGCAATAAATTTTCCGGGTGATTCTGTTTCGATTTTTCCTCTTTGTTCTGTGATGGGTCTGCGGAGTTCCCTTCGCTCACGGCATCAGATGACTGCTGTATTTCAGTGGTGAGTTGACTGCCACTTGACTTCTCAGGCAGATGTCCGGCGAGCCGTGGATGGGCTTCAAAAGGAATCAACATATCTGTCCCGCTTAGCATCTTCAACATTTGCTGCACTCCCGACACAGGTGGCCCTGCGTACCCATCATTCACCACTGGGCGACTCCCAACCAAGTTTCTGTCTTCTTGAGCGGGCTGGTTTGGAGGATGATAAGACCCAGGTGGAAAATAGACAATATTGTAGTGATTGTCTCTCTTCTGAGTGGTCTCGATGTCTAGTCCGGCACCGCCATAAGATTCTTCTCTGAACATTTGAATTGTACTTCTTTCACCACCGTTTGCCGTGCTTGAGTCTGATTTTCGATGGATGACCGCCCTACCAGGTAGAAGATCTGCGCTGCCCAACTGCAGACTTCCCTCGCGTGACAACGGGAGTTGTCTCGTAAGCTGCGGATTAGACGTGGCCTTCGGCTTAGACGAACCGTGAATTCTCGATTCCGCTGACTTCACTTCAGCTGTAGGTTGAGAGTTCTTCCTGGAGGCCCCCAATAGGGAACTTCTGGAACCTGCAGTCGAACCTGCTGTAAGGCGCAGTTTTTTCCGCTTCTCCTTCTGCTTTTCCAACATTTTCGCCTTCCTCTTGCTCCGATTTTCTGCAGCAAAAGCTGTATCTGCCTGCGACCGAACCTGCCCAAATGGACCCACGTACGTCGGATTCATAGGCTGAAGCAATTTACTGTCGTAATTTTCAGTTGACGAATTTGGAGGAAGTCGAGGCTGCTGGAATGATCCCTCGTGCGACGTCATGCGAGCTGAAGCGTCTTGAAATTCAGCTCCAGGAGTCCCTGCTTGCCGAGCGTGCTGATATGAGCCCGAGAATATGTTATTGGAATGCTGGGCATTCTCATAAACTGCACGAATGGTTGGTGTCATCTGCAAATATTGCTGTCGAGGTTGAGAAGAGAAGGTGTCCTGGCGCCTTAATTGCGGAGCCTTCCACGTATCGCAAGCCTGAGAAGGTACGGTCTGTGGAGCAATTGCAGAGTCGCCACAAGACGAACTTGGAGCAAGTGAGTGGGGAGTCATCACATGCTCCTGCATAACGCTAGTCATCACATGGTCCTGCATAAAGCTCAATTCCGTCATTCAAATTGGGCATTCCAATTGAAGAATGAACACTTATGCAGGGTGAAGTATGTTCAACGAGAACGCGAGATTCTTCTTCGAAATTGCAGAACTACGAGTCCCAAGGAGCATCCAACTCCCCATTCATAGTCGTCGGATGCAAGCATTGACTTGATGAGCAGAAGAACGAAATCTCCGACGACGCTGTCTTCAAGCCAACAACATATCGTAGGAGAATTTCTGCGCACAAAAAAACAATTTACTAAATGAATAGCGACGCGGGTACAGCAAAGTCGTCATTTATCAACAGGCAACATCAATTGTGGTTGCTCAGCTGGTCTGCGGCGTCTGACCAAACCAAAAAAACCATTCAATCACATTACTCGGCCTTAAATACCGGGTACAAGAACCAGTCGAGCTCTGTCGGCAGTGCGTGATAAATAACACCAATCGGACTATGGTTCGTATATCGAAGAAAAAAGACGCTCATTCAGCTTGCGAATTGTAGAGATATTGCAATCCCTGACAGTAAAACTGCAGTTGCCAAGGGCTATATACGAGTCTCGATCTCCTTCCACCCAGAAAGTTCAAGGATGTCCACAGAGGACTCAGCCATCATCGTATAACACGACACAGAGCTGCTCCATTCCGAGCCACGACTGAATGCTCTCGGACACAAGTGTAACTATACACTTCCTCAGAGAGTGGGGAAAGACGCTTCGAGAATTGTAAATTTATTTTCAAGAGCAACACTCGTTGTTGCTCCGTCAACTTCAGGTAGTCAGTAGGAATGAATTTCCGAAACGCGTCAGCAGCACGTCCAACACATAGTCCCACATTTAGCTTCCTCGCAAAACTGACGCAAGAATCGAGAAAACTGTGCGCGGGACACAATCTGCACGCACAAGAGCAGAAGAGCGAGACCGCCAAGAGCGATTTCGATGATTACGCCAAGAGGCACCCTACAAAGGCCAAGGGCTCAAGCACCAGAGCGGCGCAGGACCGCCGAGTGAAGAAAAACGACGAATTCGCCACTTCAGGTAACTAACCTGGTAATACTACCACAAAGTGAAGAGGAAAAAACACCTGCGGGCACTTTAGCATAGTACAGCAAGCATCCAGACATCACAGAACAACGACGCGAAACCTCCAATCTCAAAAGAGTAAGGAATTAGGACTCCCTCCGCTCTCCAACACCACAACAACCGCGAATATAGTTCACAGACACCGCTATACCTCCTTACCGCGAAATGAGCACGCAATCTCGCGTCTGTCACCGAAATCAGACCCGCAGTCGAGGTCGCCTGCCACGCCCCAACAATCAGACCCACTGCCAGTGCTTCTGTCCGCCTCGAAACCGCAAACTCAACTAATCTTCAAGTCCAAAAATTCACCACTAAAATACCTCGATCCACCTCTCCACATCCCGGTTTCATTCCTTTCCTGGCCTCAACCTTTCTTGGTGCCCTTGCAATCCTCATGACCTTCTTCCCCACTTGCCATTCCCTCCAAATCACCATTCACTCCTCCCAGTCCTCCCACTCTGTTCTCTGTGCTCTCCCCTCTCCTCTCGTCTCCTCGCCCCGCGCCTTCGCTTTCTCTCTCTCTCTCTCTCTCTCTCTCTCTCTCCTTCCTTCCTTCCTTCGCTCGCTCGCCTTCCCTTCTTCTTTCTCCTCTCCGGCTCTTCTTCTCGCTCTCGCTCGCTCGCTCTCTCGCGTCGAGCGCAAAGCTCTCGACGCCCCGACGACGCTGTGAGCCGAGCCGAGGAGAGCCGAGCCGAGCGACGAACTCTTGTCGATCCTTTCTTTTCTGTCGCACCTTCCGTTCGTCCAACGGAAGGAAAATGCATTTTTCTGATTGGCGCAATTCTTTCCTTGGGCTGTTCTAACATAACCGGGCCGGATCCCGGAGCTCGCGTTCCCACCTTCTGTTATTGGCGCAACCGGTCAACACGTTTTTTCAACACTCCCGGGCACACGTGGCCTTCAACGCGGCTGCTCTGGAAGGGTGGACAGGCCTCTACCGGTGGAAACCGGTGATCCCCGGTGCAAAGCGCACAGCTTCGCCCTGCTCTATCTCGAGGGGATTTGTATGGGACCCACCAAGAAAAACTCACCGAGACCGTGCAACGTGAGTGATGGGCAGGGTCCATCCTCTAAGAGTTATCCCCTTTCTTGTACATCTTTCCGGGACTCGGTTCTATTATGAGTCTTTGAGAATTCCGTAGACCATACTTAGCTTCATCTTATCCTCCTCTCAACTGGCCACATTGTCGTTCCATGCGCAACAAACAAGGCAGGAATTTTTTCTGCATGAGTTGATCACATTTCCAAAAAGGCTGCATTTGTTCGGAATTAAGAAGAGAGCAAAGAGAGGGATAAATCCATTTAACTCGACATCACATCAATGAGCTCGGATGAAAATGAGGCCCACCCAACTACTCTGTAGACAGTCACACCGAAAGTACTGATATCGTGTTGCCGTCAAAACATCCACATTTCCCGTACAATAATATCACAAGTTGGAATCGAGCACAAAGGGTGTGAATACATTATCTAGTACTTCGGGGATAAACACAAAAGAGTAACGTGTGTTTAGTGATTTTAGGCTCCAATACCATCACGCTGGAAAATATGTACTATTCTGACGAATATATCCCGATTACCAACGCTAACACCATGACAGCACGAAGAATTATCACTTCTTATGGATTTCAACCTCCAATGTTCTATGTTTATCACTGTAGACACACAGTTGATACAAGCCTATAATATAGTTTAAAGAGAGTGATGTTCTACTTGACTTAGTAGTCCAGTATATAGTTCTCTCCATATTTCACTAGTATAAATTTGTATACAAAATATTTGTGCTAAGTGAAGAAAATATGTGTGGCAAGAGTGATGCAACCTTTGACATTCAAGAGACGGCCATGGTGAACATGATCATGGCACAAATCTAGTCGCGAGATGTTATGATTAATTAGAATCACAATGATGAAACTGATAAGTTTAGTTTATGTTGTCAAAGATAAGTTTTGTCACAATTACATGAAAAAGAAGTACTTTGATAACTATAGCATAGATAAATATAGTCATTTATCATGACATTCATAGATATAATGAAGAAATGACAATGATAAACATGACTTTGATTACATGGTTTAATATAATTGTTAAGGTGGTATTTTTGAACACAAATTAATACATATGTATGATTTGTATTTGAAAGTGTTTAACAATTCATAATCATAAAAATTTTCAAAACTTAAAAATGATTATATATGTATTGATGATATGACAAATATCATTATCATCACATTGATTATCAATATGTAATCGCAATTACAAGACTACATTTTAAAATATTGTAAGTCAAATACTGATGAATGTGATGTTCAATAATTGACTAAGATTCAATCCATCTTTATATTGCATAATTTCAAAAAAATGCATCAAAATTATTGATAGTTGTAAAAGTTTTAACATAAATATGTACCAAATATTTTAGATTAAATGTACTTTATCATTTCTAAGCCAATTTTCAATTCAAAACATAAATTTTCATTTAAGAAAATTATTAAGTTTTCATAATTTGGCAACTAATATTGTTTACTGATAAACATTATCAAATCAATTCATGTACTTCTTTGTAGACCATAGCGTCAGTCTTACAAACAAAAATCTATCATTTAAGAAAAATATTTGAGAAGAGTAGCAACAAATATTTATCTTATAATTTGATGATTAAAAATTTGCTATAATAATATGTGTGTTAGTTGACATTGCCATGCAACGATTTGTTTGCTTGTTACGTAAGGATTGAATGTTTTAGTTTAAACCGCCACGTAAGCAATCGGTGTGTTTGTTATGATCATCCGCCACGTAATTCATCCATGAGGAGTGGGATAGGTGGTGGGGATAAAATATTATCTCCTTGTATTTATTGGTAAGAGCTTTATAAGTGAAAGTATAATCATTGTTGGTATCTCTCATCTTCAAAATTTATATTTTTATCTTTGAGTGAGATTATATTTAAACCCGAATGTTACACTAACTCAAAACTGATAGTTGTTTTAATTTGTAGGTAGCAAGTGAAATTGCGCATGGATGAAGTAACACTGTTCAATTATATTTTGTTGACAAGTTACTTTGTGACAGAATATTTTTTTAATATAATAATCTGTGACAATATTACTTTAATAAAATGTTTTTAAACCAAACATGAGTTTGATATGATGTTTCAATAAGATTTCTTTAACAAACTATTTGTTGCTAGTATAATCTTTACATAATACTTAGAAAAAAAATATTCTACTATTGAAAAAATTTGTAATGCAATTGAAACCCAAAAAATTGAATAATCAATATTTGTTCCTTTTTTTGATTAAGTAACGATGGGAAGAGCATCATAAACTGTTTCTTGTGTCTTATTAAGACTTTAGAGCAAACTGAAAGTGAAAAATCCGAAATAAAGATGATCGTTGAGTGGTGGAAGATATTTAGAGAAGTTATCAATAAGTGAAAAAAAGAATATTTCACAAAGATCCAAGTGTAGAGATAAATTACTAGACGAAAAAACCATTGTGTTTAAAATATAACAAGATTGAACACGTAAAAAACTATCGCCAAATGAAGATCAGAGCTGATGATTTTTTGTTAGCCAATGAGGTTCAAGAGTTTGACCTTGAGTAATATGACTTGGTGGAAGATGCACAAAGATATGGACTATGGAATTCAACTAAGGATGTTGCTAATATGTAGATTGTGTTTGTTATTTCCCCATATGTTATGTTAGAGAGATTTTTTTGTATTTTTTCAATATAAAACTATTCAATTATTATGAGAAATTATCAGCCTTGCAAGAATAAGAGTATTGAATTGATTAATATTCAAATGTTTGACGGAGTCTAATGTATATTGACTGAAATTAGATTTATACCCTATATAGAAAAGAATTTGATATCTCTTGAAATATTAGACTCAAAAATAATTTAATGGAGATTTATGAAAATATTGCTTGAGGTGGTAGTGCATGATAGATTTATGTTAAGGTATCATAACCACAGCATTACATATATGCTAGAGTATATTTTCATGTATGATAAAGTCAATTTTACTAACTTTTGATCTTAGATGTTTCAAAATATACTAAAATTTGATGTTAAGCAATCAATAATTTTAATTGACTTTGTTTATCTTATGTAAAACTTCTAATTATGATTCATCTTAAAAAGCTTAAATATAAAACATCATACATAAAATAGAATAAAATGTTTCTATCTATCCATATTAGTTTATGTGTATTTAATCTGTTATAAGTTTAATACAAATAATAAGAATAAATTTAAAAAATTGTTATAATTCATTAGTATATATCAATATATTTATAATAAAAGAAATATATTAAAATAAGATATACATACAATTCATCACAAAAAATATCTATGTTTACATAGAATGTAAATTTTTTTATTTTTTTAAAATTTAAATATATTTATAATTATTGTTATTATAAAATTAAGCAATAATTCTACAAATTATCAACCACTTTATAATTGTGAAAAATATAATTCTATCATTTGAGTTATCAATCAACATAATATGAATAAAATTGACCTAAAGTTTTGATATTTTATATTTAAAAAGTCAAAAATAGTTTAATATAATATTTTTATTACAAAAATCAATTAATAATTAAAATATGAAAAAATTTGATAGATACAAAAATATGTTTAATAAAACAATATTCACTTTTTTTTATTATATTCACACACACATTGTTTAATTTAATGAAATGGAATTGTAATAAAAATTTAAGATATATGATAGAACATGTCTAAATAGATATCCTTGGGACGAAAGATTTTTATTACTTAATAGAGGTTATCAATAAAGCCATATCTGCAGCATCTGCGTAACAATCATACATTTTGGCTATTGCGGGTCATGTTATGAAATTGATTTGTGAGAAGCAGTGAAAATGAGCTAAACAAACCAGATTAGCAATCCCGCACAACACTTGAATCCTGAAATCACCACAGCAAGTGCAACACACATTGAAAACACAATCTAGAACCAAACACACTGACATTCTGACTACAACCAACACATTTCATCACCACCACAACACATTCAGAAGAGGTATCATCGTGATGTGTAGCACACAACAATGATGGATGAGGTCCGCATTGCTCTATGCCGATACAAAAGATACAACCACAAAATCACGCAGAATGAACTTGCAGCATGGCTTGAGGAAGAACACAACACAAAAATTGCATAGTCAATCATTTCAGGCACCCTCAAGCGTTCTGCTTAGCTGCTCCAAATGGCAAATAACATCAACGTCAATAAAAACGCCAACGCAGAATAAAATATCCTTAGATAGAAGAGGCTTTAGCACAGTGGTGTCATGCGATCATGATCACGTCCACATGAGTTGCGATCTATTCAAAGAGGATGCGAAGAAGATCCTCACCATTTTTATCATGTACATGCTACCTTTAAATTTTCTATTGATTTGCTCGTGTCGTTCAAAACACGTCACGGGATCCATTCATAGAGGGTGCGAAGAAGATCCTCACCATTTTTATCATGTACATGCTACCTTTAAATTGTCTATTGGTTTGCTCGGGTCGTTCAAAACACGTCACGGGATCC